CCAACTGGACGGATTTTTTTTTTCGATCATACCTTTATTTTGGTACCTACATATATAGAGCTTTTCACGTAGAATCCAATAGCGTCACTAGTTTTTCGTTGGAATCTGTTCGTTCTTGAAATATGACTCAAACATATTTTAAATGTAATATCCTGTATATTATTTTTATTTGCCTTGGTATGGGCAGCGTTATTATTATAAACGAGAAACCCAGTAAAACACACGAAAATTGGTCACCCTGTACAATTTGCTTCCAATAAAAAAACTAAGTATAATTGATAAAATAAGTCAATAATTTGCGCTATAAAATATTAAACCACCCTGTATATAGTTCACCGATTAGGTTTAAATGATTTACGCTCTCTATAGTAACATAATTACATCAGCATGTGTTATGTTGTTCCATAGAAAAAAACAATCTCTGTTTCGTAAACTCATCAGATTAACAACTGTAGAAGATGCAGATATCTTGCAGGTCGAAATAATAAAAGCAAGCGTTTACCTTTGGCATTTGATTAGTGATGAATGGTAGAGGTGATTGGTTTGAAAGTAATTGATTAGCAGTTAATTTGCCAATTTATAATAATAATAGCAAAAATGATAGAGGCTTTGGGCTGATAATAATAACTTGACTTTCTTAATAATTATGATTAAGCAACAACAGTAAAATAGAAACTTATAGAAAAATATATTATTTTAACATCATCATCATATCATCATTTTCAGCTTAATTATAATAGCGACATTTCCAATTATGATGTAGCCTTCTTCACATTTAGATACTCTCTTTGTAGTTGGGCCACTTTATTAAAGTTATCTCTGTTAATTTCTTAATATCGTGGTCTCATCTCAGATTTGGTCTTCTTCTAGGTCACTCAATTCCTCGAGGGTACCATGCTGTAATTTTTCTGATCCATCTGTTGTCCGTTCTTCTATAGCCTAGTTCTTCCTGCCCATTGCCACTTGAGGGATTTGATAAGAAAGAATAGATAGAATAGAATCCACCAGTGGCGGCTCGTCAGGGTAGGCAAGGTAGGCAAGGTAGGCGGCGCCTACCCTAAGATTTTGGCAGAATTTAAGCGGTTTATTACATTACATTATTTACTATTAATGTTGCCAATATATAAAAATACTGTTAATACTTTATTTACGATTATACTTAATGATGATTTTACTGATATAATAATAAATAACTTTTCTTTATTAAGAAACCGACTCAATTTAATATATAAAATCAATATCATCAATTTAATATATAAAACATAACTATTCTTTTTCTCAATACTACCAATTTTTAAGTTTGCGTAAATAAATAAAAATAAAATAAAATTCTACGATGTACTTCATAGTGACTCCATAGTAATACATATACTTGTACAGGGTGGGTCAAATTCGACGCTTTTAAATGGAAACACCCTTTTCTATAGGAGATAGACGAAAACTAATATCGGTGTCTGGAGCTCAATTTTCATCAAAAACATGTTGGTGAAAACCGCACATCAATATCTGTTACCGTTTCGGAGTTACGAGGTGTTTTTCAAAAATGTGCATTTTTTACAAATCGCTGTAACTTTTTTGCTATGGAAAATTTTGTATTTCTATGAAAATATTTCCAAAGCCCCTTTTTACGTAGAATTTAATGGTTTAAGTATATTTTTGTTTAAATTAATAATTTAAGAGTTATCAACAGAAAAATTGATTTTTTATTTGGGACACCCTCTATATTTTTAATTAACTGAAAAGAATTTAAAATTACCTTTCCAAAAATATCTCACACTTGATATTTTGTTATAATCCCCTTCGAATTACAGAATTTTTAAAAGTTCGCCACTTTTAACTAGTAGGCATTGGACCCCTTATTGATGATATGCCCCTAATGGAACTCGAAAACATATTTTTCCAGCAAGACGACGCAACACACCGCCTCTGAACGCTGAAGTTATCAGCAAATTTTTGCAACCAATTTCAAGAATAATTGAATAGCTAACCAAGATCCCAGCTGTTGGCCGTCGAGGCCGCCTGACTTAGTGCCCATGGATCTAATCCTATGGATATATTTGCGGAAGAATAAAGGTTCCTTATTATTCCGTATAATCTAGACAAGAATTAGAAAAACTTAGCAGTTATGAGAGGATATCTTTCACCCCCACTGAGTTAATGAATTCCGCGAGAAATGTTAAAAACTGCCCCGTCTGTCCATAACATAAGACGGTTGATATGTCGAACACCTGTAGCAAAATCTCATATCTTGGTTTGCTATTTATTTTTATTGTTATTAGATATAGTTTAAATGTGTTGATGTTGGTTAAATATATTTTAAATTGTTATAAAATTCTGCATCTCTCATAGCAAATATTATTTTCGTTTTAATTGATGCTCACAACTAGAATATTTTTGCATTACAGCCGGTGCCGTTCAAATCCTACTTATTTAAAGCGGGCGAATTTCTATATACTCTATATCTCGAAGAGGAATCGAGCAAAATATCAAGTGTGTTACATTTTTGGAAAGGTAATTTTAAATTGTTTTCAATAAATTAAAAATATACAGGGTGTCCCATATAAAAAATCAAATTTTCTGTTGATAATTCTTAAATTATTAATTTTAAAAAAATTATACTGAAACCATTAAATTCTACGTAAAAAGGTGCTTTGGAAATGTTTCCATAAAAATACAAAATTTTCCAAAGCAAAAAAGTTACAGCGATTTGTCAAAAATGCATATTTTTGAAAAACACCCCGTAACTCCGAAACGGTAACAGATATCGATATGCGGTTTTCACCATCATGTTATTGACAAAAATTGAGCTCCAGACACCGATATTAGTTTTTGTCTATCTCCTATAGAAAAGGGTGTTTCCATTTAAAAGCGTCGAATTTGACCCACCCTGTACATTATGTCATTACGTTAAATGCTGTTATTTTTTCTTTAGTTTTATCCTAAATATTCTTGCGCTATATTTTTAACCCAGAGATAACATATATTTACAAACTGAGTTAGGGTATTATGTAAATTTCGGGGGGGCAAATAGACACAACTAAAATTTGTTTTCGCCACAAAAACAAATTTTGTCGCCACAGGTCACGAGCCGCCACTGAATACACTCTATTCTTTTATGGTCTTTCTTGATCTTGATTATCCCCAGCATATTTCGTTCCATTGAGCGTTGTGCAACCTGTAGTTTCCTTATAATGTCCTTTTTAAGTGTCCAGGTCGCATGCACAGGTCATGACTGATAGTACACATTGGTCGAATGTTTTCTTCTCTAGATTTGAATATGATTGAGTTTCTTCCATAAGTACTCCATGCTATACTCTTATAATTCTTCTTCGTATTGTGCCGCGTGTAGTGGAAAAGAAAAAAACATGGAATTTTACTACACAATTGTATTTATAGTTTAAACCAGAGAATAGGTAGGTACATTAAGTTTAAACCAAATAAAACATTCACCATTCATTCACCACAAACTGCGAGAATTTTAATATTTTGGCGTTTTCGCTGATGATGCCAACACGGTTAGCGAAACACGCAGGGCCTATTTTACCATGAGGCCCATAAGGGCCGGTGGTCTGGGGGGCCCGTTAAAAAGGTAAAATGCCCGTAAAATGTTCATAATTACAAATGTAAATTTACATAGCAAGGAAAAAATACATTACCTCCGATAACGAAAATAGAATTTAATAAAATAAGTTTTAGATTGATATAATTTTTTTTTCATTATGTATTTTGTTGAATATAATAATGTTTATTTATTTTTTAAAATTATTAAAAAAATAAAAATAATTGTTTTTGTTTTTTTTTTAACTCATCACTTCTCTCGACCGTTATCGACGACTCTTCTTCAATGGCGGGTGACGGTCCGTCCGTCTCTCTGCGTTGGCTTCTTTCTCCTCCCTTTTTCTACAGCACATTTCGAAGGGGGGGGGGTCTTCTAGAGAGAACCGTATAGTGATCTGTGGTACATATAAAAATAAAACAAAAGATATAAGGAAAATACAAATAAAACATAAAAATGTATAAAAGCAAGAAAATCTACCACAGTGGTTAGTAAAAATAGTAAAATATAGTATCGTTTGTCCTTTGGTAATAATAATTAAATATATCTAAATAACTTTGTATATCCATATTATTTTTTTGGATATCAACTTAAATTTTTTCAGTGTACCCAATGTGCACCTACCCCAGCATATCCTTCAGATGTATGACGAGATATAACTTTCAAAATGGGGAACACATAATTGATCTTAAGATCACGGTGATTAAGTTCCCCCTCCTATACAATCTACATCTACATCGTAGATTAAGTAACTTAAGTAACCAAACCAAACCAAACCTACAATCTACAATGTAAGGAAAACGACAGATTTGTTGTAAAACTGAATAATCCTGTCATTTCTCTAGACAGAAGACCGTTGGTAAAGGTACTTCAAGTAAAACTTTTCTTCGTCTTCACACAAGGTTTTAATTGATATATTTTGACTGAACAGAAGACTGACAGGTAAATCGTTATGTGTGAACGGGGCTTCAAAAATATAAAATATATTTACCAATATAATTTAATTATTGCAAAAGATGCCACAACAATCAACAATAGCCATTTATAACTAATGGTATTATAATAATATATTATTTATATATGAGTAATATCATATGATCTTTAAAAAACTTGTCAGAGTATGTTATCTCCACACATAAATCTTTAAAAATGATATGCCATTTATTATTATACACCCCTATGGGCATAAATACTTTCATTTCTGTATTCTGAAATTCTTATATACCCATTGAAATTATGAAGGTATATCAAAGTATATACAATGATTTTTTCTTGGTGTTGAAAGTGATGGTTTCATAATTTTATCATCACACATAATACAAGACTTAATACAAGATCTTTATGTGAATTTTTACTTGCTATACTCTTGTTTTGTCTATAAATTTGTTAAGTTTAAATAAAGTCAACCAATTCTATTGTAATAAAAAATATATATATTAATATATGGAATAAAATGTACAAAATAAAAATTAATTAAGCAAATTTAATATTAAATATATTATTTATTTCTTTTTATGTTTTGGTGTCTTCTTTTTCTTTATAATGTATTACTCCTTTTGCAATAAGATCAGGAATTTCCACTGCCAGCCAAGGACCAAGCTATAAAAAATACAATTACTTTATTGAAGGGGCAAAATTAAATAGTAGATTTAATTAGCAGATTTAATTTATCCTAGATAGGAAGTTTATTTGTTTCAATACCATGTATAATATGTATATATTTGTTTCTCACATTCACACAAAAATATCAATAGAAATCATTATTTAAATATAACGGTAAATCTATTTAAACATTATTAAGTTTCCAGTTTATCTGATATTACTTTAATTCAGGAACAAATTTAAAATCCTTAAAATATTCTTATAACCTAATCCATTTTAATTAACATAAAATTTGATTTACGTATGTCCTTCATTACAAGTAAAACTGGGGTTACCAGATAAAAACTTGTCCACCCCAGGCAAGCCTTCCCGAAAATCTAGACAAAATCGGGACGTCATAATTTTTTAGCGAAGTAGCATTTTTTAAATTGCCTAGTAATTGGTGACTTCCTACTGATATGAGTTCTTATTTTTAATTTATTTATAAAATAAGAGCAAAAATATATTTATAACTTTCAAAATTTAAAACTTACATAGTAAAACCCTGTAAAACAATGAATTTACACTGCTGCATTTTCAACTATTTTTTAATTAACTAAATTTATTAAAACTAATATATTATTTAGCATTACTGCGAAATTTTTAATGGAACATTAAATTCCGGACGGTAATGAAAAATCCACCTGAACCCAACTGGATGTAGTAAAAATCTGGACATGTCCGGGTTAATCCGGACGTCTGGTAACCCTAAGTACAACATTTTTACTTGCATTTTTACTGGAATAACTTAAAACTACTTACTCCCAATGCCATGGCATGCCCAATTCCAAATTTAGGCACGTTCCTTGCCCATAAAGGTTTAAAATGGTCACTTAAGCATATTTTGCCTCCACGATACATTTTTGCTGTTTTACCATCTAGTTCAGGTAAAGCAATCTCAGGAGCTGTTGTTGGATACGTTACAGGAATCTAAAAACTCTCACTATAACATACAGTTGTGCAATTTACCTATATTTAAGAAACTTACATCAAATTCTACATCAAACTCGTATTTTAATAATTCATGTATGAACCAACATTTCCCAAACCACTTTGTGCCTTCTTTGTTTGACTCTAACCGAAACCAGTCATTATCTGCTGCTTTATTAGTTTGTACATACTAAAATGAGTGAAAATATATGTATAACATATGTAAACAGATGGTTTTAATTTAAACGTTTAATTATATCAGATATTAATTACATGCCTGTATAAGGGATTGGTATTCTTCCTTAAGTCTTTCTACCCATAGTTCCTTATCTCTGGGGCCCGCTTTTGTTTTTAAAAGAGGGATATTGCTTAAAGCCTTACGTGTACCTTCGTCTACCATTTTCCAAATTTAACCTTACTTTTAAACGTCAGTGTCTAATTTTTCATATGGGATGTGTCTAACGTCCGTTCCGCGGATATTTATAAAAAGTGATCCATGTACAATTATACTTCTATTTATTCACCATTTATTTTGAGGAATTAGAGCCTAATTAAATGTAGTAATTGATATGCAATAAAACTATTTCTTTAACTATTCATAAATTTACTTGAGTCAACTTTGAGATGCTTTGAGATTATATTATGTGAAATAAAAATAACTTTGCGAATGTCGTTTAATAAACACTACAGTTTAGTACCAACTTTTTTTGTTTTTATGTGTTGGCAACGAACATATGGAAATTGACAAAAACCAGAAATTGTTTTATGCAAAAGTATAAAATGATAATATTAAAAAATATTCAAAAATCCAATGGCAAATTCGTTTTTTGATTTTGACGCTTCGTTAAAAGGAGGCTTAGGCTTGAGGGTAAGTAAGAATTAACTTTTTGTTTGGTAATTTAATCACCATTTCGATAGCGGCTTCCTGAACCCCAATTGTAGTTTTACGTATACCTAATTATTTTTGTTAATATCTCGAACACAGTACAATAAGTATTTAATTAGAGGTCAGGTATTTTCAAAAATATCCAAGAAGTTCTTTTTAATATATTTGCTTTTTATCACTTTAACCTTTCTTCTGCTTTACAAGTACATTGAAATGTGCTGTTTATGCATATTCAGAACTTTGTCATTGCCTTTAATAGTTTTATTATTGTGATAAGATATTCTAATAGAGAGTTATTTAGAAGGGCGCAAGTATTCTACCAGACGACGACGACGATGATTGCTATGATAATGAAGAAGAATATGATGCATTAAATGATGAGACTTTCGGTGCATGTGATCCTTCCGATGATTGGGAGCAACAGCATGAACAGTTTGCTGAATTCCAAGAGAGTTCCAAGCATTCTGAACACATTGGTATATAAATTTAATGTTAATTAAACAAGTATGTTTTTATTTTTATCTCTTTTTTTAGAAAACTCAATATCGCAGTTAGTTTTGAACGATTCATCATCTGATGATGAGAAGAGTATTGAACCTTTATCTTTTCCATCAAACTCTTCGGTTTGGGCGTACACACCCACCCATAAAAATGGTGATATATTCAACTCTACTTCTGTACTTTCATCGCTGCAGAAAGCTTCCAAGTCATTTGTATGTTTCTAAAAAATTATTGTTTAATTTAACACTAACTGTTAATAATTTCAGATTGAGTCACACACCGACAATGCGCCTCTTTTAAATGTAAATAATGCTCTCCCTGGGAAAATATGTACTGTCGAGGAGTTAGAAAAAAACTTATTAAAAAATTCACAAACAGCAAATGTTTATCGTCAATCTCCTCAACATGGTAAGATTTTTTTTGGTCTGTTAATAGTTTTTAAAATAATAATGTTTTTCTTGCAGTTCAACAAGCACAATTTCAGCAACCAAGACCCATGTTACCAATGCCACAACATCCTCCTCCATACCATCCAATGCTACAGGTAAAACTTTGGCTCAAGTTTCGTTTACTTGAAATCAGTTATGTAAGAAATATTTGTTTATTTAGTTGCCTTGGAATGAATAATTTTCAGTTTTTTATCTTTAGAATAGCTGAAACTAGTTACATGAAAACAAGTTTCCCTTTTTCATTTTAGAAATTGTTCTAAACATAAGACACGCAAAGAATTTCTTTCGGAAATGTATCATTTTCATTTATTGATAAAATATTGTAAAATATAGCAAGATTTGAAAAGTACTCGGCAATTGGAATTCGTAAACAGATGGGTTTTAGCTTACAGCGTGTTTTGATTGCTTTGGTTAAGTTGTTTGGGTTTCTTGGTTCACTTTTCTTTTTTTTTTTTTTTTTGGTACGGTATTGATGTCTAAATTACAGTATCTACTAGGTTAAGTTCATCTAAGTGTTTAGAATGTAAAGCAGAAATACATTTTCATGTAACTGATTTCAGTTATTCTAAAGTCGGAAAAAAAATAATGATGCATTTCCGCAGAGAAATTTTTATAATTTTGTGTTTGGAGAGGCTTCTGTATACTGGATGTTTTGTTGCTTTTTTTATAAGTGATTTCAAGTAAAAAAAAACTTCACCCAAAACTTTTTGTATGAATTATATATCATAGGATATAACGTTTTATGTTTTTAGCATCCCAATGCCAGATTACCACCTCCGATGAGTAAGTTCCTGAATTAAGATAATATTTAAGTTAGATACATATTGTGTTATTTGTCTTAGATATGCCACCACCAGGTATGAGGCATCTACCGCCACATCCTCTTATGGGTACTGCACTGAGAATGATACCTCCACATCTTCCTCCTCATCCGCACATGATGCCTCCAAACGGTACTCCCAGACCTCCAGGATTTTTATATCCTTTACCGGTAAGCTTTTAAATTTACCCCTTATTCTGTGGCGGCTCATGAGTCCTGAAGGAGGACGGGCACAGCGTCCACAAGAAAAAACTTATCTACCATTTGTAGTACATAAATTCAATCCTTCTAATTTTAGTGCTGGAAATGGCCATTATTTGATTGTTGCACTAAATTATATATTTACTGATCTGATTTCTTTTTTTATATCTTGGCGGTTGGGTGGGCACGTACCCCTGTGCCCTTTAGGACCAGCCGCCACTGCCTTTGTTTAGGTTTAAGTATGTAAGTTTATTTAGGTTAAGGTCTGTCCAAAGAGAGGATCCATGACAGTCACAGTGACAGTTGTCGGTCGTTTAAATTCACAGGTAAATTGTATTTTCTGTCATTTTTTGGATGTCGTCTGTCGAAATCTTCTCTGTCTTGTTGAGCTCGTTAGAGCAAGAGTATTCAGATAATTATTTCTTTGTAATATACAGAAATAAAATGTGGGAAAAAAGAGAATGTGCTCCTCTTTGTAGATATCTCGATAAATAAGAACTAATGCAAAACATTAATAGTTCACTTAAACAACTAGACGCGCTTTTCCCAGTGTTATCGCGTTGTCGCATGCTAAATTATAAATACTATAATGAAAATAATATTTTTTGTTAAATCCTTACGAAATAAATAATCTAAGAACACTTGTTTGCGCTTCGACAATGGCCAATCGATTTTCGCAGTTCTAATAAATAGTGTGTGACGATAAGCAATGAATACAATAAGTTGACAAATTATATAAACTTGATACATAAACTTTGAAATTTTATCTTCTAATCACAGTACGCCTATTCATCACGCCTATTCATAATCAGCCTGTCTACTTACGATCACTTGCATGGAAATCATGATACATACCTAGATATTGGCTTATCTAATGTAACAATAAGGGTTCTCAGCTCCATTGAAACTTCGTTTAATAAAAATCAATCAAGACTGCTGCTGTAACTACTGGCATGTAGGCGAGAATAACCACGGTAGTAAACCAAGCGATGATAACCAGCTGGTTCTGAATAAGTTGTAGAACTTTAACAATAATTCATTCTTAACTATTTTTAGTGTTGTTTTTATCACCCTTTAGTTTATTATTGTATTAAAAATTTCAAATATGCCACTGTATTAGTTTTTATCTACAAAAAAAAGACGAATAGTTCAGAAAGAATTAAAATATCAATAATGCAGTGGCATGCAGTGAAAATCCAAGCAGGGTGGGCAAAAATCGTTAAAATAATAGCGTAAGTAATTAATTAAATAATCAGTATAATTATTTTTCGCTGTAAATTGGAGGAAACAAATTCAGATTTAGCATCGCTGCGCAGAACAGCGGTTGATGCTGACGAAATCAAGTGCCTTACTTCCTTGTTATTTATCTTTCTTACACATTGTTGGTCTCTCAGACATTGCGGTTAGCAGAGTACGTGGAAGATTCTCAATGACGCAGCCTTTAATTTCGCGTCTTTATGTGGAATATTTTATGGGAATTTTGCAATAACGGCGGTAGGCTGAAAATGATTTAAATATATCTTAGATAATCTCTTAGAATAAAAATTTGATAAAAATGTTTATTGCGAATATTTGTTAGATTAGTAATTAGTAATGGTTTTGTCTGGGGTAGGCAACGCTTTTTTTCCTACATTATATGCACGCCACTGCAGCAGTAATATTAGTAATCCGGTATTCATAGTTTATCAAATCTGCATTTAAATTTATAGGTTTGTTCCAACCAGCATTTCGGGATCATTTCGAAATCGTACTCGAATCGGTTTTCTTGCACTTTGTTAGTATGCGCGCAGTGGTGGATACAGAGGGCCCCCCCCCTAAAATCTGTAAATTGTGTTCACTATTAGGCTTTTGGGTTAAAAATGGCGCCCTAAAGAGCATGTTCTCCATTACTTTTTTATTTTGATCCCCCCTAAAATAAATTCCTGTATCCGCTCATGCATGCGCGGACGTCGAATAATTTCGTGACGGTGCAAAAAGTATCATCGTTGGAACGCTTTGTGGATTGTTTTCGGGACTGTCAAAAGTGTCAAGCGTGCGTGTATTCGATCGGTTTTTTTTGTTTTTGTTTAGAATTTCATAACATAACCCTATTATTTTTGTTTGTAATTTGCAATAATAATAATTATTATTCTTGAAATGGAGAATCAGAATCCAGTAATTGTTGGTAAGTGTTGTTTCAACTGTACTCACTAACTCACTTACCTATCCTCTCTTTTATGATCCTGTTATGCGTAGTTTCCTGTTACTTCATTGCAGTAGTAATCTTTGAACATTATTTTATAAATAAAAAATTAATTAAAATTTCCGAACAATTTACTCCACACAAACTCACAAGCAAAACTATAACGCGCACGTATTCGAATTCGTAAAAAATAACCAAGACAGAAGCATCAGCTGGACGCCGGACCAGAATCAGCTGTTAAAAATCGATAATCCCTGCTAATATGCTTTAATGCGCAAGTCAACCCAAACAGTTCTCAATTTGGACCATGTACCGAAATTACCGTTCTGAAATCGTAATTAAACAATCCCAAGGTAGGTTGGTACGCAAATAGGATCGTCCGATAACCGTCAAATCTCGGTTGGAACATATTTGAATTATGCGCACGAGCGTGATCGTTCGGTGACGGTTCTGCGGCGGGTTGGAACAAACCTTATGAGACATTTTTCAAGAAGTTATAAATAAATTATGCCGATTTGTCTAGTGTTTATACTTCACAATTGAAACAAAATCTAAATGTTGAAATTAGTATTGTTTCAACACGTTTTGAGTCTGACTACATTTTGCGATTTATATTGTTTATTGTGGAGTTTATTACTCGGTATTTTTAGAAACAAATAATTTATCATAAATAAACAGTTATTAACTCGAAATTATACTTTTAGTTGTGTTGATGCGAATTAATCGAAATATAATTTTCTTTGGTAGGCATTCGTTTGGTTCATAGGTTTGAATTTTTAGAAAATTTAGTAAACAGTGTAAGTAAAAAATTTTTATGTCGCATGTCTGTTCTGTTTTCCGATAAAATAAATCACATAAAACGAAAATTAACTTGATAACTCTAACTCTAAATGTTTTTTGTTAAACTTATAGTTTTCTTCTGTTACTGTTTTTATGTTTAGTTTTTTGAAATTTGTCATACTTTAGGTCCAGTAGCCCTCAACATCTGTGTTTGATCTGCAATTATAGTTTTCAAGTTATGTTGATTACATGTCTAAAAAATTGGGGAAAAAGATATATGTTATTTTAATTGAATATCGAGTTATTGTTATTCAAAACTTTAAAATTTTCTATACAGAATTGAGAAGAGGAACACTTATAATGACATTTTCTAACAAAAAAGTGCGGATCGTCCATAAATAACACGAATAACACCAAAAACAAACCCCCCAAAAAGAATGTTGTAACCAATGCAATCAAAACTCAGTTACGGCCGACGTTTTTACCATTGTGATCCTCTTCTCAACCTTTAACACAGATCAAAATATAATATCTATTCTTATCAACTTAATATCGCTACCCCTATTTTTCAAAATTAATAAGAAAGTATAAATAAAACAAAATCCGGATTTTCAACATTTCATTGTTACCGCCAGCGATACAAGGCGATATGCGCAGACGCGAGCAAAAGACAAATAAACTAATTCTTTGTCACTCTTATTAAACTTAATAGAGAAAACTTATATATAATAGAGAAAATAATACAACCAGTAAAACACATTCTCTCTCATCTGTCATAATTATCGCATACATCAGCATACATTGACAACTTATCGTAAATTTAACCTAAAAATAATAATTTTAAGTATCAATAGTGAAGTGATCTCAAACATTTAGAAGACGATCCGTACTTAAAACGTTAAAATATTAATTGTAGAACATATTAATATCAAATTTACATCAATAACTTCAAGATTGACGATATACCTAAAAGGTACCAGAGCCGAGTTATTTTTCAATATGGCCAAGAAAAGTTGTAGCTGTGGTTGTAGTAGACGACTGGGGAATGACAATCAATGAGGGTGATAATTTTGGCGACGTCAAGCCCTAGACGTCGGTTGATTCTTACTATACCTTCCATTTCCATTCGATATCCATTCCATATCCGTTACTTAATTTTATTGTATTGGCGTTATACGTAAGCTTCCGTTCCGTATCAGTTCCATACTTTTGTACTACTTATATCATTATGTACAATTTATATCATTACGAAAGTTTTATTTTAAAAATTTGTATCTTTTGAAAAAGGTAATAGATTTTTTATCAGCAAAATTTTAACAGAACTGGTACAAATGTAAGAACTTGACACTTGACAACGCTGTTTCCGAAACGCTTCAGTCCATCCGCCAAAAAAATGTATGGAAGAAAAGGATATGGAACGGAAGGGATAGTGTGCATTGTCCCATTCATTTACATGATATAATATTTTATGTAAACGGAAGGGAGCTGATATGGGAGGTATAGTGAGAACCAACCTTTAATTGGGCCTATACTCTTCTTTATAGAACCGATTTGAAGCGGACCCACACCGTTCTTGAGTTCGGCCATATGGAATCCACCATTTCAGACCCATTTCACTTCAGATTCGCGATTAGCGACCCAAAATACTCACATATACTGATTTTGTTCGGATCCGTGTTTTTTTTTTAAATTTGCGTCGGCCATTATTGATCCGTTATTTTGAATTTTCCGTGCGATTTTGGAAATTCGCATCAGCCATATTGGAAAGGCCATTTTAGCATTTAGAAAAAATATGACACATACTAGCCCAATTATGATGGGTGTTTTGAGTTTATCAGGCCCATTTACATTAGGTTATATAGTGTTATACATAAGAAAATACATTTTTGATTTTTTCCTACTACATTTTCCTGAAATTTTACGGATTTTCACCAATTTTTAAGGTTAGAAAAAGGATTCGTGCTCAGCGTCGAAAAATATTATAATAAATGATAGGTCTGGTAAAAATGTACATTTTGTTACTCAGTAGTTTTATACATGTATGGACAAAAAGTTATTACTTTTCAAACCAGTTAAAAAATATGTGAGTGGTCTACAAGTAGCAGTCATATTGACATGGAAATCAAATTGCTCATGTCAAAAAACTCCCAGACACCAATTTTCATCCAAATATTGACGATACTTTAAAAATTATTTGGAAAAAATCGAAATAACAATGAAACTTCTACACCCTGTATATCGAAAATAAGCATTTTAGGACATACATTTATACGAACTTTTTTTACTTATTTTAATCTGCAGAATATGCTACCGAAGTTTCCAGAATACAGTCGGGACCACCATTAGTGTATATTATTAAACACTAATCTCTTAATTTTCTTATGTATATTCTTCGTAGTCGTTGACTTTTTTTTTTAATTATATTTTCTAATCGCCAGGTTAACCATCGTTTTGGTTTTCCACCTCCACCTTATAACCCGGGGCCTGTAGGGCCGAACCAAAGTAAAGGCGTACCTCCCAGGGGACCATATCCTAACAACATGCAAGTTATGCAACCACCTCCGCAACAACAACCACCACAACAACAGTTCTCACCCCAGCGTCAGCAACAGCATCGTGTAAGACAAGACAGTGGAAATTTCAGGTTAAAAAATTCTAATTTAACTGAGTGAATGATGTTCTAAAGGATTTTTTTCTTTTTTAATTGCAGAGGGAACTTTAGAGAACAAGAAGGTTACAACAGAGATGAATACGCTGGTCTTATGACGGCAAAAGATAAACAATGGTTGTTAAATATTCAGTTGCTGCAACTGAATACTGGAACACCATATTTTGATGATTATTATTATACCGTAAGGTTTACATTATTTAATTATTGTTTTTTGTATATAATCTATTGTATTTATTTATAGATATATAAAGAGAGACAATCTAGAAGCAACAAAGAGAATAATCAGCATTATAACGAGAGGGAGCGAAATGGAAGATTCCAAAATAATAGTGGAAGACAGAGAAGGAATAGTGACAGACAAGAAAATACTTTGACCCCTAGAGTTTATACACCTTTGCAGTTTGAAAATTCATTAGGGAAACTACAGGTAAGGGTTGGTTCAAACAAAAAAACGGATTTCTTATTTGTGTAATCATGTATAACTGGTTTTGTTGTTTTTTTTTATTGTAGTGTGGTTCAGTAACAGCTCCGAGAAAAATTATAGACATGGACATTGTAACTCCGGAGAAAGACCAAGATCTTCCTCAACCTACCAAAGATTCGAGGAAAACCAAGCAATTGCTTCTTGAATTGGAAGCGCTGTATTCGCTTCTTTTGAAAGCTGAAGATATTAAAAATCCAATGTTTATCAGTAACATGGAAAAATGGAGGGAGATGAAACAAAAACAAAGGTATAAACAAATACAATATCTTTTTTCTTGTATTTGTAATATTTATATTCAAATCGTTTTTATGGATAAATTATGTTTGCTGCATTAACTACACGTAATTTGAGTCACATCGCACGAATGTTTGTCATCTCGGCGCACTCAGTTATTAAATGTTTCGGTGTTTCCTCATTTTTCCCATTTTCCATTGAGGAGACTGTCCTGTTAAAAACCCCGTGACAATCCGCAGATTGTTCTTATTTAATCAAGGAAAATCTTTAAATTTTGTCGGGCACAAGCCCTAAGAAATTTTTATAAATAGATTATATCAAGTATAGTTAAATTCATAGTTATTTTTCTATTAACTTATTAGAACTTTTCTGTGGTCAATTGCTCAGACTTTTTTAAGAAGCTTAAACATTTTACCTAAGTTTTTAGATATTGTGAACGGTCTTATGTTGACTGAGAATTATTTATTAAGTTTTTTAACCGAAACGCTTCAATTACAAAAAAAATATTTGTTGGTTCATTTGAACTACTCAAGCAAATATTCGATCATTTAGCTTGAATTTTTGTATTTTTTAAATATTTTGTATAATGTTTTAATTAATATTCTTAAATTGCACATTTTTAAGTATTAACTGTCAAAAAATAGTAGGTTATTAGTAAATAATAAATAATTTTTAAAGTTTTTATTCCATACTTCTCTAATGTTAAAGAATATCAAACTGTTGCATTGTAAAATAACAAAAAATCTTGCTGGTTCATTTGAACTACTCATAAAAATATTTTATTTTGATATATGATTAAATATTTATCAATTGTCAATAATTATTTATAATCTGATTGAACCAATTGTAGTAGGCAATGGTATTAGAGACATGTATTTGTCTTATATTATTCTACTATAAAAACTCCTACATTATAAAATTGCAAATAAATTGTCCTTGGTTCATTTGAACTACTAGCATTCAATAAATATGTAATTTATTTTGTGTTCTTATTATTAAAATGACGACATTTTTAGGCTGAGAGAATTGGAACAAGCTCCCACTCCAGAACAAAAACAAGAAGTACTACGTCTATTCAAGCTGGAGAGTGAACCAGTTGAAGAACACCAGTACGACTATATTGTTAAAATCGTCAATGGATGGCTTCAAGACGAAAAGTTCGCCAGTTTTCTCAACATCCGAAAAGGAAAGGTAACTGAAAATACATGTTTTCTTTGTTAAACATAATTTATTAATTTAAAATGCATTTTTTTAACTTAGATACTCCTATTACGACTATTACCTCACTTGAATTGTGACGCATTTTCTACGCACCTGGTAGAAATATGGAGTAAAGTCCTTCTTAGTTTACCGATAATTGGACGTAGGGATACTGCAGGTGACAATATTTTACCAAGATTCTATCCATATTTTAAAAGGTATGTCAATTTCGTAATAGTTTATGTTATTTAGAATTAGAATGACCATAGTCTTTCTAGCGAGTGAATATTTGAGTTACCCAAGAGAATACAAAAAAAAAATATTTACTTTTGAATTAAAATTATCGGCAGCTGTGTCTTTTATATTCTTTTGCTGTAGAGACTATAGTTATAACGAGAGTTACAATAATTATCAGCGACTAAAATCTATCCAAGGAGAGAAGAGATCATTCAAACCTTTGAATAAGAAGACTAAGGAAGGAGCATAATGCTATCCATGTATTCATGCATGGTGGGCGGAAAAAGCGCAATAAAAGCACTCTAGGGTGGGGATCCTTGGCAGTTCTGTTTGACGATTCATTTGACACATTTGAATTTGATTTGATATTTTGTGGATTTGTCAGTCTTTACGCTTTTAGCTTATTTTATGTTATTTATTATAGTTATCTACTACTGTTAGTTGTATAAAGGTAGTAAATCTAGATGGAAATTGTGGCAGAACTTAAATTAACAGTGACACTATCGCGATTTATCGAAAAAGACTCTAAAATAGTTGGTTGTGGTTTGGTTTGGTTTGCGTCGTATAAGCGTGCGGTAGATCTCGGCAAAAATTGCGTGAAATAATGGAACAACTTTTCGCTAGTAAGTCACTATATAATATACATACGTGTAGTAAACCGATCATTTATGAAATTCACTTAAATTAACTAAATTATATATTTTTCTTGCATTTTAGCTTTTATTTATTACTTGTCAAAGATTAGATGTCAAAGAATTTAGATACGTTAATTTGACTTACCTGCTTCAGTAGCGTATCGGATGTTTGTGTTAATAAATACTTATTATAACTTATCTATTTTTTATTAGAATTATATATTTTTTTTATAACAATTTTAATAACTACCAACATTTATTCATAACGTAACATAAAACAACAAATTATTGAGTCTACCCCACGTCTACCCTACATCATAGTTTTACATTTTTTAAATAAAATTAGAACGACACTGATAAACCGGAATTTAAGTCGGCCATATTTGAGGCCCATCGCGGTGTACCTAAGATTTTTGATATGCTCCTTCCTTAGTCTTCTTATTCAAAGATTCAAACAGTAATTTAATATAAATTTACTAATTTGATGTGAAAGTTTCGGATGTCATTGTACAGGGTGTTTCAAAAAAACATGTACCATCTCGTGTAGAAATAAGACTTATTTTTTATATCAACTTAGGTCCGATTCTGTTTTGTTTTTTTATTTAGCGTTTCGAATGAAATTTTGAGGGCAAAACTATAAATGCGACATAATTTAATGCTAAAAAAATGTCGAAACATTGATATACCAGGGACATATGGGTTGTCACTGGAATATTTTCTATATTCCATTTCTCTGAAACATGTACGCCACTGACTTTTCGACCAAATTTCAAGAGTTAACTTTTAATTGTCTCTTAATCTTATTTTTACGTAAGGAATCTCTCCACGAGAAATGGCATTTATTATTTGAAACACCCCGTATAATATAGTAACAAACATATCAAAATGAACATCATAGTGATGGATATTTTTTTATATTTCGGGTCGAATACTTTGACTTTTTTTACCATCTTTCTTTAAATTACTATAATCTCTAAAATTAAAATATACTCTGTTCATTACACCAAACATCAACAATAAACCTGACACCAAATTGAATTGCATTTTTGCCAAAAACATCTTGACGATTAAATCAACAATACTAGGCGTCCAAAAACACACAAAAACTAAAATACAATTATTGAGAGACTTGCAATTCTGATTTTTTAATTGTAGAAGTTTGGAGAAAAATACTGCCACAAAAAATATCAGTATAAAAGTTAAAAAATCGTAGGCTTTTAAAAAGGTATTTTCTTTTAAACAACTTGTCGTGGAATTTGAAATCGTATTGTTTAAAAACGGAGTGATAAACAAATATTGACCTTTTACTGCATTTTTTGTCTTTTGATTCTGTTTGAATTTGTCAATTACGTCATAAACCCTTAACAGGATATTTTCAGTCTCGTTTGATTGGCCGGAATCGTTTTGTTTGAAAATATTTTTGACAAAACCGTCAGTTTGGGCATCGGGTCTGGTAAAATTGAAATTTGAAAAGACATCAAATGGAAAATTGTCTATATCGACATGACTACTATTCTCATTGAGATTCACAATAAAGTAAAGAATGGCAATGAGTATTTGAGGTAGCAAAATCGTTATTAAACCTTCAGTTATTAGAGTAGATTTTTTTGGATCCTTTTTATTTTCTGTTATTGGTGTGGATGTAGTTGGAGTTGTTTTCACAACAAAAGGGTCGAAATTTGAAGATGATGCTTTTTCGGTTGGGGCATCTTCCTTGTTTTCGTTAATAGATGTCTCTGGAGAAATACTTTGACAAGTTATCACTAAAGATATGACGCAGCTGATAAATGAGTAAACTAAAATAGAAACACATACTGTTAATAGTAAACATATACAGGGTGCTACAAATTCGAGGTACGAACATTTGTATCTCGGTAACAAAGTTGCGCTTTGGGATGTTCACTAAGATGCCATCAGAAAAGTTTTCAAAATTTTAAGAATTGCTGAGTTTTTTGGAAAAAACGTTTTTTTTTTGAAATCAATTTTATTTCTTCCTGTCGTTACTTTTTAGAAAATCAAAAAACTAATTGCACACTCTCATAGCCACTTTATTAAGGCTATCTGATAGTATTTTTAGATTTTCAAATTAGCTGATAATTTGTGAGATACAGAGGCCGACTTAATTTTTTTAAATACGGACCTGCATTTTTTATTTGAGTTTTTGAAAGAACTCGGTCTCCTGAATACAATGATTTGCCACACTTTATACTTTGTTTGTTTCGGATATTTGAACACAATTTATTTAAACTAATTTCAAATCCGGCTCTGTTTTTTTAAATATTTAATCTATTCATCGTTACAATATTGGTAAGCCTTCAAACTTAACAATGACGTGGGGTAAAACATTGAATACGGAAAATCAAATGCAATAAAAAAATCCAAACCAAATCAATATTTTCAACATTTACAATAAGGAGTACAAAATGCATTCGAGAGTATAAGATGAAAATATATTCAAAGAACTATAAATAAAATTGCGCGAATAATAAATTTGTGCAATAGGAAGGGCGGTAACCCTTTCAAACATGTAGAGCATTAGAAACAAGTTTGTAGAAGTTGATTTATTTATAATAACTACGATTAATATTATGCATATTATTACATGGTACAGAAATTTCAAATTCACAATAGAACAAAAGTTAAAAATAATATCTTTAAATTGCTGACTTGGATATTATTTATTTGAATCTTTCAATCGACTCAATTTTCCTTATTCAATGTTAATTAGGGCTGATCAATATTGTTACGATGAATATAATCAGATTAAATAATTTAAAATACCAGATTCGGACTTGAAATTATTTTAAATAATAATTAAATAGTTTTGTTGTTGTTAAGGTACCCAAAACAAAAAAAAAGTATAGAGTGTGGCATATCATTGTACTCAGGAGACCGAGTTCTTTCAAAACCTGGAATAAAAAATACAGATCCGTATTTAAAAAAATTAAGTTGGCCTCTGTATCTCGCAAATTATCAGCTTATTTGAAAATCTAAAAATACCAAACCAAACCAAATACCATCAGATAGCCCTAATAAAGTCGTTTTGAGAATGTGTAATTGGTTTTTGATTTTCTAAAAAGTAACGACAGGAAAAAATCAAATTGATTTTCAAAAAAATCCGTTTTTTCCAAAAAACTTTTTTGATGGCATTTTGATAAACATCCCAAAGCGCAACTTTGCCCCAATTTAACCATCTTTGTATCTATTACGGTTTCCGAGATACTAATGCTCGTACATCGAATTTGTAGCACCCTGTATATTTGATACCAGTTAAACTTTTAGTTGCGTAATCGAGGGCGCCTTTTTTAAATTCATTGTTGCCAATCATGGACATATTCGACACCGGGCTGACTAACTGGAATTTAAATTTCCCGCTGGGGATTCAGGTGGTAGCTCTACTGTAAAAAATGTCAAGTTGCTACATTTATTTATTTATTTCCTGACGTTGTCATTCGTTTTGACACTTTAGTTTTGTATTACGAGTTTCTATGAATTGTGATACTTTCAACTTTCAAATAATGAATAATATTCAAAAAAATTTACAAGCAGACTTCGCAGTCGAACATTGTTCTTTTTAGAACCTCCTTTAATGCGAAGTGTACAAGATAGCTTAACCGTCGTAAATAAGTCATCGCAACTTTATCAGAATATTTTGAACGGGAAATCGGTAATAATGGCCCTTTATGTCCCTTAAGTGCTGTTAAGAACGTGAGTTTTGTTGATGTAAATAATAACTGTTTATATATTTATAATTAATTTTGTTATTAATAATTTTGTTCTCTAAAATATTTTGATTAAAAGAAAATATAACTGGGCAACGCTGTACCGGTCAAGCTTAATCACGTGACTAAAAGTTTATTTGATATGAACTACTCTTATATGTAAAAAAGTTTTTCAGTTTTATTTGTTTAACATCTCTCGGTATGAAATGTTATTTTTTCTTACCTAGAAGAGCATGGTAAAAGAAAAGTATCTTGAAACAATCTTCTTTTTCCACTATTGAATAATAATCCTCCTCCAGTTCTAATTTTCTAAAAGATCTAAGTTTTTCTTTTGTAGAATTTTGAAGTCTCTTCTTTAAGGCCATTTGGACTAAGTTATGGTAACTTATTAAAAAATCCTGTTGAAAGTTCTTTATTTTGTTTTCTCTAGTGTCTTCTATTTCATTTTCGGTCTAAATATAAAAACCCTTTTACTGTTTACAACATTCGTTACTTCTACAACATTTTTGTTTACTGCCTCGCAAATAGGTGTTACAAATTTATGACACATTTTAAGATTTGCAATGACAGAAAATGCACAACTTAATGTACAGGGTGTACATTAAGTTAAGTCGAAAATCAGGAATCAGGGTGTTCCTTTTAAAATAGTGAAGTAAAAATACAGCATCTAGATTTGTCTCACCCTTTATACCGGGTACGTCTCAAAAGTGGTTCACCCCTGTAACTTTTTTATTTTTTCAAATAAAAGAACGAAACTTGGTATATTTTAGTATATCGTCGGTGAAATGTATTTTGAGAAAAGAAACGGTATAAAAAAATATGTACACATGTAGCAAGTATATTAATGCGTTAATATGATTAAGAGATAACAATAATATTGGTTGAGGTGGGGGCTATGACGTTTCACTGACGATATGACATAAATTAGGACTGATTGTTCGAGCCAAATTGTCGTTATGAACCGCATGTTGCAATTTCAAATAAACCTTAGTCGAAAATGTCAAAAATTGCCATATTATGTCATTCTATTCAGAGTGTCATTTTCTATCGAATAAAGTAACAAAATACCGAGGGTGCCATTTAAAAATCAAAAGTTATAGTCATTTCCGATGAAACAGGAAGTGACGAAAAACAATTGAATACGTCAATCAATCCTAGTTTATGTCATATACTAACATACCAGATCTCGATTTTTTATCTGAGAAAAATATAAAAAGTTATAGAGGTGAGCCACTTTTGAGACGCACCCGGTATAGAGAGCGAAATATAATTATTTGGTATTATCAGTTTTACAAAATATACTGTTATAAAACACTTCAAGTTAAAGAATTTGTACTTAGAAATGGTAATATTTAAAAAATTTCTCCGTAGAGATTACTCCGTAACGGTATTTTTGGTATGTTAACTTTATGCCAAACTCAATTATATAATCTACAACATTAGTATGAAGACTAGTTTAATTCACCCTGTATATTTACAAAAAAATAATTGTAAAATGTGCACTGGCCATTGTGGACGTACTTTGTGTAACAAAATAAAGTAAAAATCTAAATCAGGAAATGTAAGATAAGAATATTGTTAAAACAACGTTCACCCTGTGTAACAATTTATTATATCTTTTATAGAATCTTAAGTTTTCATTAAAAAATCAGATTATATTATTATAAATTTGTTTTGTACTTACCTCGGGATAAAAAGCAGGAACTCCGGTATCTACATAGGACGTGTCATTTATAATAGCTAGATCGTCGATGTTATTTTCAATAAATTTGTTTATAGGGACCTTCTTCGACAGAACGATCGCACTATACAAATAAAAAGTTCCCAGGAGTATAGTGGACATACCGTTGCAAATTTTTCCCCATCCTATAGCATTTTCACTACCCTTGGACCAGTAAATTATATAAGCTACACTAATTAACCCTACTGGTATTAAAACACTTGCGACGAAAGCGTATATTTCAAACATATTTAAGTTTTTCTTTAACGAGAATAAAAATGAAATGAAACAATCAATGCCCATATGTTTATTTCTCGTCAATCATGTGGGTCAAAAAGATAAAATATATTTTACAGTAGTAACTGTATTTCATTTTATAAGGGCTCAATAATTAATGAGTGTAGAGTGATAAATAATTAGGAACTGTTTTTTTACAGATATGTACAGAATTGTACATTCTCAGATGTACTAGATATTGTTGCCGGGTTAGTTGAAGTGGTAAAACAGGAGAATAGCAGAAGTACTCCTTTAAGTCATGTTGGGAAAGCTCCATTATATTTCGTAATTCTTAACAAGGTAAGTCTAATAAATACTATTAATTTTTGTTACCGTCCTTTAGTATTTTTTTCTAAGAATAAATACGAGGGTAATCTGAAAAGTTTTGGGCTTTAATTATGGAGGTAAGGAGAAATATCTTCGTGCATTGAAAAGTGGTCATAAAAGAGGGAAGATGGCGGTGCTGTAGCAAAAACCTAAAATTTAAAATATGCGCTGAAAATTTTTAGAACAGGAAATGATTCAAAAGAGATAAATATTTGACGTGAAGGTGCGGGTTTCAAAAAAATACAAATTTTATTTTCATATAGAGGTGGGAATTCTAGTTCCTTGGGAGGAACTAGTTCCTTAGTTCTAGTTCCTCCAAAGGAATGGTTCCTTGAACTAGGTCTTTAGTTCACAATAGTTCCCGACTAACATTGACATCCCCCTTGCTTGCTAATGCGTTTCGTTGTCAGTCAGAACTATTCACAGTATGATCTGTATAATTTTTATATTGTACGGAGATATAACGAGACGTGTAATTGTGTATGTTAAAAACATATAGGTAAGTTTTATTGCAGATAAAAAAATAAAAAAGAAACTCAAATCAGAGTTTAAAAAACTATATGACAAATCAATTGGAGCAAATATTACAAAAATTTTACGAAAAATTGCATTTTTCCTCACTTCAAGTTCGAATAAAAGCGAATAGAAGCGAAAAAAATTGAAGCTTGTCTAAAAATTCAGAATATCTACTTCGTTTTATAAGATATTTCTTAATTTTAGGGACCTAAAGTGAAACATTTCCATAAAATATTTAAAAAAACAAACTAAAAATCAAAAACAGTATCCACGACAATTTTCTGTGGTAATTACGCCGGCTGTGGCAATAGACAAGGCCGAATCCATCGTCGTCGCCTTGTATTATATCTCGGATCTGCCGACTGAATAGATTCCCGTGAACTAGTCTTTTAATTAGTTCCTCTGTCCGGATCCGATAACATACGGCTGGCACTCCCCACGCCTGCCTAGCATCAATCGCGCTGGCTGATCCATACGTAAACTAATGTTTTATTTAGTTCCTCTAGTTCCTTTAGGTCCGGATCCGATAACATACAGCTGGCACTCCCCACTCCTGCCTAGCATCGATCGCGCTGTCCCGATCCGTACGTACCTAAACTAGTAGTCTACTAGTAAACTAGTCTTTTATTTAGTTCCTCTAGGTCCGGATCCGATAACGTACGGCTGGCTCTCTTCACTCCCGCCTACCATCGGGCTACGCGCGCTGGCTAATCCGCCACCGTCGCATATTATTATATTATCAGTCACAGTCTCCATCCCGGAATAGGTCCTGAGGAACTAGTTCTTTGAGAAACCAGGAACTAATTCCTTTCATTCCGGGGTCGGAATAGTTCATTGGAACTAGTTCGTTCATGAACTACACACCTTTTATTTTCATATCACATGAAATAAATTATCGATTTTTATTCAACAGCAATAGACTGGGCCTCTAATATATAAAAATAATTGTTTTATATTCTAAAAAATAAAAACAAAGTGTTTTTGGGTGATGTTTGGTTATGTTACTTTTATTCTCTTATCTATGGTTACTTTTCATTTTTCAGATTTATGCGTCATTAGCGCCATTGTGGTCAAGTCCCATAAGATATATTTCTCCTCGTCTCTACACTCCATAGCTTTAATATGAAATTAGGTTAAAAGGGAAAAAATTACTATTTGTTATGATTTTTTTGGCACACCCAGACAAACTGTCATAAAATTTAATTATAGAATGATAGAATGGTCAGTCAACGTTCAACGTTACGTCATATATAGTCAACTCTCTCAATCACTTGACAACCAGATGAAAGAGGTTGGTGACATCATTACAGCATTTCGTAAATTACTTCATATTGTTTTTTTGTAATTGCCATAGTCATTTGATTTGGGGTTATACTTTTGTTGACGGACATCGATCAATGTCAAAATTAAATTTTTTTTAAGAAAATTATTAAAATCGAAATTATTTTTTTGCAATTTCGAACTTATACCGGGTGCGTCTCAAAAATGGCTCACCCCTATAACTTTTTTATTTTTTAAAAAACGAGATTTGGTATGTTAGTATATGACAGAAATTAGGATTATCAATTATTTTCGGTCACTTCCTGTTTCACCGGAAATGACTACAACTTTTGATTTTTAAATGGTACCACCGGTATTTGTTTTTACTTTTTTCAATAGAAAATGGCACTCTGAATAGAATGACATATCATATGTCAACTTTTGACATATGCGTTTAAAACAAAATTGAATTTTAAATTTCAATCTAGAGTGCCATAGCTTTGTTCAAAACACTAATTTGTAATCAAGGACCATTGGAAAATAGATTTGATCTTCTAATGGTTTGGTTTGGTTTGGACGTTTAGACTTGAGCACGCACGAGCTGAGCGTGCGGGCACGGCATTCGTTCGCACTCTCGGCTCTGTTCAAATTAAAAACTTATTTTTCGACGAACAAAGTGATCCATTTGTGTGCGCACAGCAGAGCTGTGTTGGCGAAAATAATGGACGACCAAGAAATAGTCGAGGCTGCAGTCATTGTTATGCACAGCTTAATTATAAAAAAGGAGAAAAATCGAAAACATCGTCGCTGGTGGCAAACCGAAATTTTTAGAAATCGATATAATTTGCTGCAACAACTTAGTGTCTGAGGAGGGCTATGATCATTTCAAAAACTTTACAAGAATGACCAGACCCGACTGAATATACCAAGAATGTTTAACATTCCATAATATAGGCAACTTTTCATATTCTTCAATTAATAATAACGATTGATAATAATAACAATTAATTGATCCACTCCATAATTTTAATAAAGAAAACGAAAAAAAATCACACACACACGCAAGAACGCAGACAAAACAAATTGCCGGTGCAAACTGAGCGTTCGCGCACATATAAAATCCATTTGAGCACGGACCAAAAAGATGGACACCAGACGTCTCACGTTCGCGGCTGCTCGCGCACAGACAGATTCAGAGTGAGCGTGCGCGCACAGCCGTTTACATTTGATCATTCGCGGAGGATCAGTGCGACCATAATTTTTTTTTATGTCTTGTCCTGGCCAGTTAAAAGATGCCCAAATCGTATTTTTAATCATATCTCAATTCTTTCAAATGGAACTAGGGTAGCTCATTAGCATATTTGGAAAAAGCATTTTTTTACGAATAATTTGGTACCACTCACTTGATATTTTGAGTCAAATTGTCCTTATGAACCACATGTTACAATTTCAAATAAACCATATGCTGACATATGATATAATAATCAGAGTGTCATTTTCTATCAAATAAAGAAGAAATATACCGAGGGTGCCATTTAAAAATCAAGAGTTGTAGTAATTTCCGGTTAAACAGGAAGTGACCAAAAACAACTGAATACGTCAATCAGTCCTAATTTATATCATATACTAACATACCAAATCTCGTTTTTTTATCTGAAAAAAATAAAAAAAGTTATATAGGAATGAGCCATTTTTGAGACGCACCCAGCATAACATTAAAGATGGTATAGCCCTTAATTCTTTACATAAATATATTTTTTATTCGTTCAATTTAGCTGAAAAAAACTGCTACTGAAACACAATCAAAATGAATAAATGCCGAAAAAAACGGAACTCGCTCAATCAGAGTAATATAGGAATATACCTAAAATTTTCTAAACAATATGAACTGATCTCAGACACACCCTAAAACTCATATTTGACAAATAATGATTACTTAACGGTGAACGATGGCTGAACAGTCTGTATATTAAGTATGCATTACAAAAGTATTAAATAAACACGATTTTCAGTTTGGGGTTTCGGCCCTAGTGGTGCTGTTCATGCGTTGCGAATACTTGTTTTCGACTGACACCGTCACGGAGAGGCAACAAGCCGATTGGTCGGCTTTCCTGGCGTCATGGGCCAAACACACGGACACCGTGAGCAAAGTGGCGGTACCTATAGAGGTTATACCCTCGCAGGTATTCGCCAAGCACGTCAACAGATTCTCCGATTTGACACTGGACAAAAAATCGCTCCTGAAAAAATACTTCGTAGATATACCCGTTGCGGATTAATTATATTGTTTGTTATTTTTTTCGATAAGATGTTTTAACATTGTAAACCGAGGGGCTTAAATAAGCACGTAAACAATTTCATTTTACCGGATGCTTTTTTGGACTATTTCTTTTTAAAATATTCGTTTATTTTTGTTATTGCTTGTTATGTATGTTGAAACAACTGTCGATTCGATGTGTATCGCCTTTATTTTTTATAGGATGCCTTTATTTTTATCATGTTCTTAATGTTTTTCTTACCGGATAAACTACATTATGATGATATATATACGTATGTATGTTTTAGATTTATTTTATCGTTTATTGAAGCCTGCCCTAATGTTATATTGAGTGAAAGAAAATTATAGCAATACTTTGACGTAATTGTTTCGAATAATATTGCTTTCACCGTTGCTTTATTTCAGATTGGCACAACAAAAAATCTAGTTTTTCTTTCAAGAAAAAAATCTATTTTCCATTGCATACTTTAAATTACAGAATAAAGGAGATGTAGGAGTTGAGCCTTCTGATCTCACCTTATATTTCTTATAATATCTAAAAGGATATACAATATACAAAATACTTTACGATAAAAAAAACGGAGTCCCAATGCTCTTTGAAATGACAATTATTGATAACTTCTATCAGGCCTATTACCCCTAGTGTAGTAATTTATTAATGAGACATAAAACTATTTTCAAAAAATATAATTTTGAAAACAGAATTGTCTTGAAACGTTTTTCTTTTTTTTAAATACTAATTTTTGACGAATTTTTATGTATATTTTTATTAAGATATAGGGATCAGCCCGAGAAAAATTATTAATTTCGATTTTAATTTCAAAAGCCACTGTGACGCCTTATTTTCGATAATTTATTTGTAAAAAATATCCTTACGCTCATAAAATAATGTATATATTATTAGTAGTTTAGTAAAATATTAGAGTATAGATTATTCTATTGGAGTTAAATAACTAAATTTTTTAAACAAAGACTATATTACTTAGGAAAATGATGTCACATTAGGTCAAGAAAAAATATGTCTACCTTATTCTGTGATTTAATATTAATGACGTGCGAAAAAATAATGAAAATTTTATTTTACCCTGTTTTTTTACTGTACAATTATTTTAAATGTAGATATTACTGAAAATGTGATTTATCTTAAAAAAATAATTTTTTAAAAGTTGCCCTTTTCACACGTTAGGCGTTTTATTATTGATTTTTAAACTTAAGGCTTTCTGACCTTAGCTGCGACGTGTGAATCGGGCTTAAAAAACAAGCCCGACGCGTAAAAGTATTTGTTTCTAGTAGCGCTGTTGGGCTCGCAAGATGTTATCACTTTATGTAATAAGATTATGTAATTTTTTATGTCAGATATCGAAATATGTTGGAAAGATATCGTTACTAAATGCTTTTTTCAAATAATTATTTAGTAATTATTATTGTCAAGATGGATTAATAAAAACTACGTTTAGATTTTATCTGTATTTTTTTCCTTATTAATATTATGTACCGTGCTGGCAACTGTTACTTTTGGGTCGGCATTTGCATGTGTGGAAGTAAATCGCATAGGGATCTTATTAAGTCGGAGTGAGAGAAATGCGACGGTGTGCTGTTGCGACGTTGCCGGTACGCCTTTCCCTATCAAGTAAAAAAATCACGATCGCAAACCGCTTATTTTTAAAAGACTTTTTTTCAAGAGATAACTAGATAAAATCATTAGACATGTTTCTGAGCATCTGAAATGGAATTATAAGGATATCGTTAGGGTGTCATTTTTTTATAACGGGAAAACCTCAGTAATCGCAATAATTTAAAAACTCAACTTTTTAACACATAACAGGCCATAACTCAAGAACCACTTTAGAGACTGAAACGTTTTTATTTTCAATATCGGATATTTTACAATATGTTTACATAAGAAAAATTCGATAAGGTTGTTTTTTCCATTCAAAAATTGTAAACAATCCATCCATTTACTTTTAGAGCATAGCAATTTTCAGCAATCGTGTAATTTTTTTATTGATAAAGATTTTCACATACTGTCTACAAAAAAATACAGCAGAAATATTAACAAAGCTCTTGAAAAAACTACAATCTATTATTTCTAATAGATTTCGAGATATCGATTTTTGAATTCAGAGTTCTAATAGCGCGACCACTATCGAACACCCACTCAATTCCACTTATTTTTACCAAAAATGCAAGTGTTTCTAGCTGGCACTTAAAAAAATTCAAGCTATATGGAAAATTACAACGACTCGTTAATAAATAAACAAATTAAGTATCACGAGACGTAATCAAATCGTGAGGCTGAACGCATGACCTACACCTTTCCCTAGAAATTTAAGTACTGACAGAAGTATTGATTGGGTCGACCGGTCAACTGCGACATATCTGCTGTATCCCCTTCCACGTCTCTTAGCGATGTGCACAGTTTCTCGGTTTATTTCATACGTTTGGCAACGTGTTTACTGTCCTCTCTTTGTACACATACATTTACAGTACATTATAAACTCATTGTACTCTTCTTACATACGGAAATCTCGACCCAAGTCTAACCTTTACCAGCCTTAGTATACCTATACAGAGCGATCAACAATGATTGAAATAGTTGACAATATAAAATATACATTGTTGGAGTATTTTACGTTTAGCGGTTGGTATAGTAAACGCCACGAATGTTTGGGAGTGATTCATCGCTTGATGAAGTTAGAATCGACACGCGCGCTATCATTTTTACATTAAAAACGTTAATTTTTACCGCAGACGTAGGTTTTTAAAGCCCGATCTAATCATCTGCCTGCGCTCCTCCTACTTATTCTAAAATGTTAGCGTGATTGACAAAGACGATACTATATCGCGTTTCTTTGATTGGTTCGTTTTTGTGCGTCAGTCCATTGGTGTGCTTGCAGTGCGACCAATGGGGCATTCCATTTTATATTTATAACCAAATATATGTTTTGACAAGACTTTGACAGTTAAAACAACAAATTACAACAGATTATATGAGGGGTGTAGTAACAAAACGTACAATCACCTTCTGTGTTAATTTTGAGCAAATCACGAAAAACCCTTATAAATCAAAATATAGATGCAAACATAATTTTCAATGGCTCTGCAGTTTAAGATAAGTACTTAGTATATCATGCTACAAGAAAAATAAAAAAATATTGCGGATTAACATCAAAATTTAAAAATTTAATTTGGAGATTGTACATTTTGAAACTAAACTGTGGAGATTGTACATTTTGAAAGTAAACTGTAGTAATTGACCGACTTAACAGCAAAAAATATCGAAGAAAATAAAGTAGTGTATTCAAATATAAAAAAAATCTTATTGTTTAGGATTCAAACTATCTTTTCTTATCTAAACTTTAAATCTAATTAAGTAAATCTTTAACTCTCACGCTGGGTCCCTCATCAAAATACTCGCAAATTTCTTCTTCTCCTTTATCCTCCTCAGACTGTTTTTCTGCCTCATCTAGAACGAACTTATAAAATTCCAAATCTTTATCTTCTTTCCAGTTTTCACCATAATGACCTTTCAGCAAAGAAGGGATGGTGCGATTTTTTTTTCTTTTATCACGTTTTGATTTTCAATAATATTTGGTACAATATCACCTAAAGTTTGCCTCTTTTGCAAATCGGTTTATCAGCACCTAAGTCACTCTTATAGGTAACTTCTCCACGTACCTAGATTCCGTGCCTCAATCCTTTGGTAATTATTATTCGCTAATATTATAAGATAAATATAACTAACCAAATCACGTGGTCTTGTGGTTTCTCCTATTGGTTGTTTGGAGATTGCACGCTTTGATATTCACTTGTCAGTGGAGATTGCAGGTTTTGAAACTAAAGCCAACATTTGAACTTAAAATACAATGAGATATTGCCCATTTTGATGCTAAATAGCATCTTATTCTAATGCAGCTTGAAATGTAGTATCTGAATCATATTTTACCGCATTTTTTATAAAAAGTGGAGATTGTACGTTTTGTTAATACACCCCTCATATATTGATTATTGTATGACTTGAAACACCACGGCACTGGAATTAAGTTTCATGTGACCTTGAACAGATTAGTTCACATGGTAGCGACCGATGAATCACTCCCAAACATTCGTGGCGTTTACTTTACTGTTGCTAAATCAAATTAGCAATCGAAAAATTTTAGCCTATTGGGCGCGTTCAGGGACGGTCAGCGGCTGAGTGGCTGAGTAAGCGATTTCCCTGAACGGTCTCTTTTTACACACAAAAACAGTCAGCCGCTGAGCAAAATACTCAGCGGTCGGTCAGCCGCTGTGTTTCCTGAACGCGCACATTATGTCAATTCATGGACATTTGTTTGACTTCTTATTCTTCTTGAACATTTTCAGGTTTTGACTTCATTTATGAAATCCAAAAGCGTAGTCTGGATTTTAACGTGTAAGACAGTGATATAGACAGCTTAATGAAAAACCAAACCAAAAACGGTTTACCAATGTTCTTAAAAATAAACAACATATATTATTTTTAGTTAACCTTTCGAGAGCTGTAACTTCTCTGGGAAACAATTTGTTCAAAGGAACTTTTTGTGTTATTTTTATCTGTAGAATCACCACACTAAAGTTAGATACACTATTTTTTGACACCCTGTATAAAAAAAGGACCAATAAAATAAAATACCAAAATTTATTGCTGAATATATTTTAATATTCTTAATACTGTTCTCAACATATACAGTGCAGAATTTTATCTTAATTGTATAAAACTAAAGCTTTGATATAAATACAAAAGGCATTATAATTGATATACAGGTAGACCCTCCGTATTTTTAACTCTTACAATTTTAAAAGAATTGCCGGAGAAAAATATGGATTTTTATAAAATAAATTAGTAGAAGACAACAGAAAATGTGATAAATTATTGGAAAATTAATTTACGTTCGAAAATCAGTCCGCATCGAAAAAGAAAATATAATTAAGAATATATTATTAACCTTAAGCCGAGAAAAATTCGAACACTTCTTACCTTAACTTATATTGGAAATACAAAAATATTTCGTTACACTCTTGAGATCTGTACTGTCAAAACGTTAAAATAAGGTTAACTTTTCACATACCATCCTTGTGATAGAGAGATATTTTCACCAGATTTTTTTTCATGCATCTGATCAATGAAAAACAGTTAAAAGATCTTTATATTATTCTAAAAGCCTCTTGATTTCATTGTTATGAATTATTGTCAGAGATTTCGTGTACAGTTGAATGGTATGTCAAAAGTAAATTTGTTAGATATCAAACCAAATAAAAACTTATTCTATTAACGATAAATTAATTTTTACGCTTTTTTTCAAATTTAAACTCAATTAGAAACAGTTATTGAGGCAGTTAATAAGGTTCTTAAAGAATAAAGCTTGAAAATTTGGCTAGAAAATTACGCAGTTTTTATATTTATTGCATTTTCATGCCTCCGTTTATCGGATATACGATTTGATTGTGATTGGTGTCATTTTATATTTTCATTTCCATGTTTTACTTATAGTCCATAGAATATAGTTAACTATAATGAATATAGTTTTACTCATAGTCCATAGATTTGAAGAAAGCTGGTTCTTTAATATATCTTTTGCTATGCTCTCCCGAAGAGATTGCGGTCCATCTGACTGCCGGTACTCGTTGCGTTCACTACTGTGCATCACATCTGTATTCTACATCTGTTTACTACTGCGCATCACAAATTCGCCCTCTATTTCAGGAACTAAGGAGGCTAGTACAAACATAATGTGTAGCATATTTAATTTCATAAAAAAGTAGCAAAGTAATGTGAAAATCGCATCATTGTATCTCTACTCATAAAGAGAAAGCCCATCAAACACCCGAAAATGGGATACCCTGTACAAATGTGCAGTGGTGAACCGCAGTAGCCTACCGACAGTCAGACGGCCCGCACTTTGGTCAGGAGAGCGTAGCAAAAGCTATTAAAGAACGAGTACATACGAGAACATTCGAAAACCTTCTCTACGCACCTAACGATCTATGGACAATTCTAGAGTTCTTTACCTGCCGGTATAAAAGCCGGCGGCCGTGGCCTACAGGGGGCAGTTATAAATATACCAGTGCAGTTGACGCGCGAAAATTCAAAATAAATTCTTAGTTATAAATCGTTTGTAAATAGTTCTATAAGTCTATTATCGTTATTGTTTTTTTGTTAATTAGTGTTAAATAAATAGTGTTTAAATAAATTGTGACTTTCTATCCACACGGAACCGACGAAAAACGTAACAGTATCAACGAATAACGAACGTATGAAAATCAAGCTTAAATCCAAGCCATTTATAATTTTCTGATAAGACATATTAAATCTTAAATAATATATTCAACTAATTGAAATATTTAAAATAAAAGTATATTTTAAGTGAATTAACATTTATTTATATGTTTTCAATAAATACAATATCTGGATTGACAAAATAACGTTTTCGAAATGTCAAAATACCGCACGGTTTCTCTACGTAAATAGCGGCACACGGTAACGCTATTAGCGCGTAAAAGTTTATTAAGACGCTTTAACTGTCAAAATAACGCCTTTTTAATACCGCACATCGTTGCCATATCTCCCGATTGTATTTTATTGAGAGAAAAATACTATTTAACTCACAAATTATTTCCTTAAAAATCAACTGCCTCAAAACTAGTTCTAAAAATTCGCCGATTAATATTTAGTAAAATAAATTAGAGACCTCTGTATTCCTTCGTTTTGTTCAATAAACGAAAAAACTCTGTCGTAACTAGGATTAATTACTACCTAAAAACTGATCGCTTAAATATTACAAACTACGCATCCGTTCTATCACAATACTAAAGTTGAATTAACCAAAAAAGTATATATCTCTGTCTGTTGTCGTCTGTCATCCGTCGTTGGACCTTAGGCCGAGAGCGAATCCTTCCGGGTCGTGTGTTCACAACGGAAAAGGAAATTAGAGAGTAAAACCTACTTACAACGTAATAAATTCAGAAGTCTATACTTTTTCTTTGATAATTAAGACTAGGTGGGTGCTGTTAGCAGTATTTAGTTTTCTTATTTTTGTTTTTTGAGATAAAAATCCTGAAACAAAAAAATATATTAATTAATTTGCAGTATTTGCAGTCTAATACTGTTTTATATGCCATAGGGGCGTTGCAAAAGCAATTACTATAATGACCACACAAGAGTGGGTGGAAACCAAACCAAATCTCTAGAACGGTGGAGAAATTCACCATTCTAGAGACAGGCAAAACAGTTCATAGTAGAACATTCGCTATAATTCACGGCAGACCTTGTAGAATGTAGAATGTTTAGGAGGGGGAGTTAATCACCGCGATCTTATCCCGCGAAATCTATTGTGTTCCCCTTTCTTGAGATATAACGAGTTATAACTCATCATACAGTCTCAGGGCTTTAACAAAAGCCAGTATCTGAGACGGCTCCACAGACGCCAGCTCTCCATCTTCGACATCAGGCGTACCGAAGTTCATGGCACGAACGGTCGTCGTCTCGGCGCACTCAGTGATAAGGTGTTCTTGTGTTTCTCCATTTTCCCCACAGAATCTGCTTTCGCCGTTGTTCGTCGGCTTCAGCCTACTTAGGCGTTCGTTGAGGAGATAGTGTCCTGTTAAGGTGCGTCCAGACCTGACGAGACGAGAGCGAGGCAAGAGCGAGACACGAGCAAGACGAGAGCGAGACAAGCGAGTTGGATCATAGTGAAAGTAACCCAAACACATATTAAATTGTAATTGAATATAACAAACGATGGTCAAATAATAACGCATACAGTAATAGGTTTTTGTATCTTTAACATGGTATTTGGTTCGTCGTATTTTATTCATCGTCGGTTTTTTCCCTTTTGGCTGTTTTCCCCTTTAACCCTTCATTTGTTTCGAGACACGACGTCTTTTATAAAATATATTTTTTAACGTTTTTTAGCACAAAATGTTAAATAAAAAGTTATAGGGAAGGTTAAGAAGCAGATTTTAAAACGACTGTGGGGTATACAAGGTATTTGAAGTGTTGCTGATATAACATATATTTTTTAATGGTAATTCACCATTTTTCATTTTATTATTAGATTCTACGTACAATTCGGTATTTTTTGCATAGATTAGTAGATTTTGTAATAATTCAATTTGTTTCAAGAAATCTTGGATTTAGGTACGGTAAAAATTATCACTGACGCAAAATTTGTAAATTCTATCAGAAAAAATGATAATACACATACACATACGATTTACCATTTAAAAAATTTGAGATAATTTAATTTTAAATAGTCGAAATTCATAAATCAGAGCTAATATCTCGCAGTCGAGCGAGCCAACCAAAAACACATCCAGACTGTGCCGCGAGCTTTCTTTGATCGGCCGTCGCAAAACCGACAGAGGACGGATAGCAACGAGACTCTCGCGAGACCCGTCCACACTTAGCGAATTTGGAATTTCGCTCGTCTCGTCAGGTCTGGACGCACCTTTAGAAATCCCGTGACAATCCGAAGATTGTTTTTACTTAAATCAAGGAAAATCTTTGATTTTTGTCGGTCGTAAGTTCTGGGGAACTTTTTCGAGCGTCTTAGACGATTGGAGGACTCCCATTCCAGGTTACGGATGACGGCAGACCTTATAAGCAAATAGAAAGACAGCCAAAGCTGTAGTGGGTTTACTAACAGGGCGTTGGAAGCTAAGAAAATAGGCATCTAAAGCTGATGGAATTGACACATTTTATGTCGGTGCGATAACCTGGGAATTTAAAAAGTTCCTTGTACTAGGCAATGATAGGCCATTGACAAAGACCTATATAAGGGTTCATTCTCCAAGTTGCTAGATTTTTTGAAACGGATAGGAGTCTAGAATGAACCTTAGACTCAGAAGAGGACGACAATAGATCCGAAAAGGTCGCAGTGGAACAGGCTGATAGCCACCTCGAAGAATCTAATCTAGGGTTAATGACTAACTTACCATTTGATTGACTAGTAAAATTCAAGCGAGTCATCGCTTTCGGAAACTACAGTGGCGTCTCTTTCCGCCAATGGAAACTGTTCGTCTTGGAGGCGGGGTTCGCTCCAGAGGCGGACTTGCGCAGATTGGCCGCCGCGCTGTCCAGCCCGTTTTTCACGTTGGCCACCAAGCGCAGCGCCGGGTTCGTCACTATGCCGTTCCGTTTCGATTTCTGATTGCTGAAAAAATAAAATCAAATGTCGGAAAAACCTGAAAAGTGTTTAAAATTAGAAAATTACCTGTGCTTGGAATTATTCGTTTCCTTCTCATGTTTATCCTCAGGCTTTTTGTCTTTCCCGAAAACCGAGTTTCCAGAGTTACCTAGAATTATCCTCATGTGGGTGTCCCGCGCAAAATGGTTGTCCGAAACTTTACCAAAATTATTGTGTCGTAACACAGGCTGGTAAATATTCATGGCACCTAGTTAAAAAAATATATAGACCTTAATATATTTTAGAATTATTTTGACTTCAAAATGCTTACTGAAGACATTATTAGAGGTATCGTGCACGGGACTCAGTGGAGGTGACGCATATATTGGACTTTGGGGCTCACTCTGAAGCGGAGACAACAGTTTGCTTAGGGGGCGAGTCTTTCCGCCCCTCGAGCATTGTTGTAGTTGTTGCGTAAACGACATCGGCTGTAAAAAATCACATTAAGAAACGAGTTTTATTTGTTTACTCAAGAAAAGTCCCTACAGCACTTAAAGCCAGTATCGTCATAATAGTGTTATTTAAATTACCTGAGCATTTTGTGATGTATCTCTTTGTCTATCACCGTGGCGACTGGAATGGCTGGACCCCGTCAAATTCGAGCTTGATTTCGAGTTAGAACTGTGATTTCCCAGAGAGACCATTGATCTTCTTTGTTGGTCAGTCCAATCTCCACCACCTACAGGATAGAGAATGGCAGATGATGGTTTGGTCTCAGCTGTTGATGCTAGAGAAGAAAAAAATGTACATTAAACACAAACTCATAAATAACTTAGGTAAATAATAAAATGATTTTGTAAATACAAATGAGATTTACACAAAATCGACAAAAAAATCGCAGATAAGTTTTTAAAAAATATTTGTACTATTACTTACTAGAGGCAATTGAATTAGCACTGCTACTAGTGTGCGCTGCTGCAATCTTATGAGATCTCGCACTATATTCCTCCAGCAGTCTGACCACGCCCCTGTGTCCCGATTTAGCCGCAACCCTCAACGCATTCCTACCACAAGCGTCGGAATGGTTAGGGTCGGCACCGTGTTCAAGTAAGGCTACTACGCATTGTTCATGACCCTCCTGCGCAGCTATTCCTATAAGTTAATTATTAATAGTTACAATTCACACAAAAAATATTTTAGCATTTCTAATTCATATACATATAAATAAGTATACTCAGTGTTCCCTATTTAATCCCGTGTGCTGTGTTTCCTTGCCGTAAGAAAAAGACAACATAACTCAGCTCCATATTAATACTGCATAAGACTATTTCACCCGGATATCGATTGAACTGCGATAGCGCCAAACTCCGATTAATCGTTGTTTTAGTTCCGTTTGGATTACTTCTTGTTTGTGCGCGTAAAAGAGTAATTTTGTTTAGTTTATTGTTTCCCACTATTTTTTAATATTTTTCCAACTCCATGATAATGTGTTATAAATAATAAAAATATAAATAAAGTTGATGGTTAGGTGAAATATCAGTCAACTACTTCCCTTTAAAAACACCGACCAATAAAAACTTCTCCAGGTAAGGCATGTACGAATTAAATGAATATCCGGGTGAAATAAACTTATGCAGAATTCCATATTTTTCTTTCACCGTTTGGGCATCACTTTTTAGAGATTAGGCTGAATATATTTATTTATACGTATATGGTCTAATTCATACCTAAAGCTGTGGCTCCTTGATTACAGGTATGGTCAGGTTGAGCCCCAAATTCGAGAAGAATCTTAACAATATCACTGTGACCCTGCCAACTAGCCGAATGTAGAGCCGTTCTGTTTTCTAAATCACAAGCGTCGACTTGTGCTTTACCATAGGTTAGTAGTAAACTGACCATTTCAGTGTGACCTTGCCAAGATGATACATGTAGCGGAGTTCGCCCCTAAAAAAATGTATCTATCAATACATAAAATTTAATAATCCAACGTCTTACCTCCAAGTCTCGAGTTTCAACATCCGCTCCTTGTTGCATGAAATACTTGGACATTGCCAACCGATTGTCCAAAGCCAACACATACAGGGTACTCCTTCCGTCTGCGTCTTTGGAATCAATATCAGCCCCGTTAGAAAGTAAAATTTGTACTATATCGTAGTGCCCTTCCAAAGCAGCTAGGCTGCAAGTTTCACAAAATATATTATAATTCTAAATGTTTGATTCTGTCACTTACCGTAAAGCAGTTTTGCCATCGTGAGGTCTTTGGTCGACAGGTGCGTTATATTTATCTATAAATAAATTTACTAAGGTCGTATGACCTCCTTGTGATGCCAAAGCCAAGGGTGCCTTGCCTTCGTTATCTGTTTCGTCGATTCTTGCTCCCGCTTCTAACAGAGACTCGCATACGTCAAGATGACCTAAAAACCGATCAAAAAAGATTTAAATAAATTGTAACGATTCTAGAAAAAAAACAACCACCTTCAAAAGCAGAATAATGTAAAGGAGTCCAGCCGGAATTGTCCCGATGTTGTTCGTCTAGGCCTCTATCTAAAAGTTGTCGTACTACTTCCACACAACCTAAAAAATATATAAATGGAATCCAAGGATAACAAGATGTCACTGTTGTGACATATCTGAAATGCTCCATGAGATGTCACTATTGTGAGCATTTCAGTTTGAGCTTTACAAATATCTAGCCTTGAAGTTCATGAAATTGATAGCTGTCTATAATATTTCAACCACAAGATGGTTTCGAAAATGCTATAATTTTCTAGAAATTAGATATATTTTTAACAAGTTGTTACTTAATAAACTATTATTTTACACATACATACATATAATCGATACCAAATTAACTTTTAGTTACGTCATCGAGTGCACAATTATTAAATTCATTGCTGCCATCCATGGATATATTCGGCGTAGGGCTGACTAACTAGAATTTAAATTTCCCGCTGGCGATTCAGGTAATAGCTTTGCTGTAAACAATGTCAAGTTGCGACATTTATTTATTTATTTCCTGAGATTTCGATTCGTGTTGACACTTAGTTTTGTATTACGGGTTTTCGGTTTAAGTGAATTGTGTTGTAATAATTTAAGCTTAATTTTTTTTACTAGCATACCATGCAGTAGAAAATTGTTCTTTGTAGAACCGCTTGTAGTACGAAGTGTAATGCCTAAGCAGTTAAACACCTGTTATAAAACTTTTATATATATATATATATATATATATATATATATATATATATATATATATATATATATATATATATATATATATATATATATATATATATATATATATAAATAATATATAATTAATTCATTTTTTTTTCCTAAAATATTGATTAAATGAAAATATGTAAAAGTCGGCAACGCTGTGTCGGTCAAGCTTAATCACATGATTAAAAATTTATTTGGTATGATGTATAAATATAGCTATAATTTGATAAATAACCAATTTACAGTTATTTATAAAGTAATATTGTTATTTTACAACCCTTATTTAACTCTGATTTATAAGTAACAGTTATTATTTTTACCCCTACTGCTCGCCCTACTGTTATTTATAAATAACGGTTCGCAAGAGCTCCTCAGTTGTGTTACTTCCAAAAAAGTAATAAGGTATGAAAATAACAGTGCACTGACAGCGGTGATTCATAATGAAAAGTCGGCATCGCCAAATTTGACCAAGCTCGTAAATTTTATTATTTCCATAAAATAACAGACATGATAAATAATAGACATACAAATAACTGTGTAGTAACTATATCGCTTTTTAAAACTGTTATTTATAATAACAGTTCGCAAAAGCTGTTAAGGTGTTACTTTCGAAAAAATAATAGGCATGAAAATAACAGCTCAGTGCACTGAACAGGGGTTCATAAAGAAAAGTCGGCATCTTCAAATTTATTGTCTCCATAAAATAACAGACATGAAAACAATAGTGCGCCAACAACCGCGCGCTATAGCGTATTTTGAAATATCAGTATTGCCCACTTTACAAATAACTGGATCGTAACTGTCAATCTCATGAATTTCAGCTATAGACCTAGTTGATAATACTGCATTAAGTGGATAAAAATAAATAAAATGAATACATAAAAGAGTTACGTAAATAATACCGTAAACTTACCTTGCGCAGCTGCTACAGATAAGACTGTGCGCCCTTCGGAATCCATGGAGTCTATACAACAGCCCCAGAACAACAATAAGGCAACAACAGGGGCGTGGCCCATGCTGGCAGCCGCCCACAACGGACTCCGACCACTGTTGTCACAGTGATCGACGTCCGCTTCGTTTTCCAGAAGAAGTTCACAAACATCTCTGTAAAATTAATTAATAAAATAGATTGATTTAATTATCTTAATTGAACTTACTTGTGACCTTCAAAAGAAGCTACCAGCAAAGGAGTCATGCCCTCTTTGTCTTTATGATCGACGGTGGCGCCTCTTTCTAAAAGCGTAGATACTACGCTGACACCTGCAAAAAATAAAAGCACTGATTGTATACACTGTGTTGCAAAAGTAAGTATTTAATTAAAAAAATAACTCAATATATATAAGTAACAACTCAATATAATAAAAATAACTATATATATATATATATGCATTTTTTGCATATTCATATATGTGAATTAATAGATAGATGCATCTTTTTACCACTTCTACCTGGGGTTCGTGGAGCACAGAGAGCTGCAACCGAGAGAGCTGTCCTTCCATCGGCGTCTGCGTGGTTTATATCAGCTCCATAGTCTAGAAGATGGTCAACTATCTCGCTGTGGCCCATATAAGCAGCAGCGATCAACGCTGTCCTACCCTAAAAGAATAAGACAAAATGTATTATATTTTTATATACAACTAAAGCAAAATAAAACACTAATTCACCAGAATACAGCAAAACGCTTTACTTTTACACTGGACGCGGGTTTCGCTAACCATGTTAGCATCATCAGCAGATGATTAAAACTAAACTAATATTAATGAGCGTTTATATTGGTGCTCAGTTGGCACTGACCTTAGAAGTAACAATTAATTACAGATATTAGAGTAATAGGAAGAGAAAACTGGAAGGAATTGTACTATTATCTCAGTTCAGATTATCTTTGCATTTATTAATTTTGGCGCTCTCATATCTAATAGCCTGTAATTTGTGACTTGTTTTATTAATTTTAAATTTAATATCTATACAATGGTTATATATGATTTATATGGCCTACCATATCATATCTGAGCCACATTATATTCTTTAATTCTAGTTAATAATGATCTAGTTTGCCCAATATATTTCAGATTACAATCTTTACATGAAATTTCATAAATACCCTACTTTTCCAGTGGAGGTGTTTTATCTTTAGGATTACTTAAGAATTGCTGTAATTTATTATTAGCACTATACATAAGTTTATAATGGAGATTCTTGAAAATTCTTTTAATAATAATATAGATAATAAAATGGTTTGAGTTTTGGTTTTATTTTGCTGTTGTAACACCAATCCAACCCTCAACTGTTTAGTTGTAATTACAGTTCCAACCCTCAACTGTAGTTACAACTAAACAAACACGATAAAAGTAGTTTTGTTGTAGTATTGCAACACCAGTGGTGCTTCCTAGCCTAAAATTTATGATGTTAGAAGGATATGATAGATATTTTTGTAAATGTAATATCTCATTAGTATTAAATAGATATCAATGCTGAAATCTTACTTCATGATCTGTCAAATTGACGTTAGCTCCGTTTTGTAAAAGAACCTTTACAATTTCTTCATGACCACTCCAGGCTGCTGCTCGTAAGGCTGTCCGATTTTCCGCGTCCATGCTATCCAAAGCGCAGCCATGCCTAACTAGCATTTCCACTACCTATACATCAATAATAGCATCATAAAACTGTCTGGTATACATACACGATTATGTAAAAAAAATGACAGAAGTATTTTGATCGAGCAAGCTCTCATTATGACACTTACATTAAGAAATAATACATTACCTCTGTGTGCCCGCCCCATGCAGCCGCTCTAAGGGGTGTCCAACCGTCAATGTCAGCTTGGTCAGCATTTGCACCAGATTCCAACAAAACCTACAATATAAGTAAAAATCCTAGTATCTATCCAGTTACCAAAATACTGTCAATTTTATTCGATCTGTTGAGCGTTCGTTAATTTTAATTGTCTTAATTTTATTAAACGTCAATTATTTAGTTTAAGTGATAAACAAAATGTTTTATATACAGCCCTGGTAACTTTATTTCCGTGGTCTATATTTTAATGCATACGACGAGATAAATACACGACCAGTTGACAGGCGGAGAGACAAAATAAAAAGCTGCATACAGTGTTGCCGGTTAGTACGGGAAATAACATTACTTTAAAACCTGGAATAAAATACCGGCAGTCACTCTTTACAAATACAATAGTTAATAAATATTTATTGGTTTATTCAGATTTTAGTTCAGAAACAGTGCTCGCCAGTAAAATTCGTACTAGATTCAAACAGCTCTCAATTTTGACTGTTGTTACTAAACTAACAACTATGATTGTTTGTTTCGGTAATTTCGCCAGCGACACGTATATAACAGCTCTAGTAAAATAAGTAACTAATTGTGGGAAATAAAGATCCAACACTAGATATAACATTTTTTAAACAAAAAAACTTGAACGGTTTGAGATTTTGATGCAAAATCCGGCAATACCGTATAGAAGAAATGGATCGCCCAAATTTTTTCTTTTTTTAATACATTTGATTTTTCATCAAGCTGTCACTGTCTTACACGTTAAAATCCAGACCATGTTCCTACGGTGATAAAATCTGTATATTTTATTATATTATTATACCGGGCGAGCACAGTTTTATGTTAAAGTTCTCTACTGTAAATCTAATGTAATTCCTCTAAGAATTATTTATGTCGTTATATACAAAGCAAACTTGGAGAGAAAGAACTTCAGAGATCAAGATCATATATTTCCATTATTCTTTTCCTGAATACCTAACTTACCATCAAAATCGCTAAAAATAATACGTATATCACTCAAGAACCACAAAAAATGAATAAAAGTAGGGTATAAGAATCTTTAGATTTTACAAAATGAATTCCTCCAGATTACAGCCAATTTAAGTTAAGACTTTTTCAAATTATCAAAAAATTAAAAAAAGGTTTATCGCTTTCTAGATAAACTATAACAAAACTAAATAACATTGATTACATACTTTATTTATTGTTAAATGCTCATAAATGTGCGCCAAAATAAAACGTTTAATCTCGACAGATGTAATAAATCCTTTTAATAGAATGATAACACTTTCACAGCTGTTGGCACCAAAACTCAAACAACAAAAAACCTAACTCACACTCTCAAACGCTGACATAATATTACGTACAATAGGCAATAAATTCATGTTTGTTAATTATCTCGCATAAAACGTCCGTTAGTTCCAGCGATGTAGTGAGGCCTTGAATAAAAACAATATAATCTGCATTAGCGATTTTTCAGTAAAAGAACTATGTTTTAATTAGGCCAATTAAGCTACTTAAGCTGTTTAACAAAATATTCTTGTAGGGCGCACTTAAAATAGTAAAATTCCATTTTACTTTTACTGTTCGCTTAAAAACAATGATTTAAAAAACACACAGACAAACTCACAGGGCAAACCATTGTTTTAAAAAAGCTCCATATCATATTTTCTGTTTGAAATATATAAAAAAATGGATTCCGGGTAAAAGTTATAATAAAGGCCCATTTTCATGTATCGCAACTTTTCATCCGAAAATGTTAATCCGTCAACGGATATGATGTCCGTCAACGGAGAAAGTTAAAATAAATTGAAATTTTTAGTACATAATATAAATCAAAGTCTTATATATTTACTAATAAACAAGGTAAGCCTCAGTTCCAACCAAAATGAGACACTCCGTACTATCAAATTGTGAATATAGAATTTTGTGGAAAGTTTAAATGTGCATGTACAGGGTAGGTCAAATTCGACGCTTTTAAATGGAAACACCCTTTTCTATAGGAGATAGACAATATCGGTATAACAACGATATAGACAAACTAATATCGGTGTCTGGAGCTCAATTTTTGTCAAAAACATGATGGAGAAAACCGCATATCGATGTCTGTTACCGTTTCGGAGTTACGGGGTGTTGTTCTAAAATATGCATTTTTAATAAATCGCTGTAACTTTTTTGCTATGGAAAATTTTGTATTTTTATGAAAACATTTCCAAAGCACCTTTTTACGTAAATTTAATGGTTTAAGTATAATTTTTTTAAAATTAATAATTTAGGAATTATCAACACAAAATTTGATTTTTTTATATGGGACACCCTGTATATTTTTAATTTATTGAAAATAATTTAAAATTACCTTTTCAAAAATATAACACACTTGATATTTTGCTCGATTCCTCTTCGAGATATAGAGTATATAAAAATTCGCCCGCTTTAAATAAGTAGGCTTTGAACGGCACCGGCTGTAATGCAAAAAAATTCTAGCTGTGAGCATCAATTAAAACTTCTCTCGAACGAAAACGAAAATAATATTTGCTATGACAGATGCAGAATTTTATAACAATTTAAAATATATTTAACGAACATCAATACATTTAAACTATATCTAATAACAATAAAAATAAATAGCAAACCAATGATATGAGATTTTGCTACAGGAGTTCGACATATCGACCGTCTTTGGTTATGGACAGACGGTGCCGTTTTTGAACATTTCTCGCGGAATTCATTAACTCAGTGGGGGTGAAAGATACCCTCTCATAACTGCTAAGTATTTCTAATTCTTGTCTAGATTATACGGAAGAATAAGGAACCTTTATTCTTCCGCAAATATATCCATATGATTAGATCCATGGGCACTAAATCAGGCAGCCTCGACGGCCAACGGCTGGGATCTTGGTTAGCTATTCAATTATTCTTGAAATTGGCTGCAAAAATTTGCTGATAACTTCAGCGATCTGAGGCGGTGCGTCGTCTTGCTGGAAAAATATGTTTTCGAGTTCCATTAAGGGCATATCATCAATAAGGGGTCCAAAGCCTACTAGTTAAAAGTGGCGAACTTTTAAAAATTCTGTATTTCGAAGGGGATTATAACAAAATATCAAGTGTGCTATATTTTTGGAAAGGTAATTTTAAATTCTTTTCAGTTAATTAAAAATATAGAGGGTGTACCAAAAAAATCAATTTTTCTGTTGGTAACTCTTAAATTATTAATTTTAAAAAAATTATACTTAAACCATTAAATTCTACGTAAAAAGGTGCTTTGGAAATGTTTTCATAGAAATACAAAATTTTCCATAGCAAAAAGTTACAGCGATTTGTTAAAAATGCTAATTTTTGAAAAACACCCCGTAACTCCGAAACGGTAACAGATATTGATGTGCGGTTTTCACCATCATGTTTTTGATGAAAATTGAGCTCCAGACACCGATATTAGTTTTCGTCTATCTCCTATAGAAAAGGGTGTTTCCATTTAAAAGCGTCGAATTTGACCCACCCTGTACATAAAATAGACTAAAGTGTTTAAAAATGGTTATATTGCAAAAACCACTAGGTATAGTTTACAACATTATAGTATTTTAAAAATTCATAGCAAAAAATATATAGGATACTATACTCCGAAGTTTGTATACTATTTTATTTACAACCACATCATTAATTAAAAATTAAAAAATTAAATTAATTAAAAAGTATGGACAGTATTTTATTAAAAAAAAATAAATATGCGAAAATTTGTCGTTTTCTGTTTTCTGTTTATTTCCATATTTATAGTTACCAGTACCAGTGGTTGTTATGGCGCAAACCTTCAACAGCAAAACAAACAACTAAGTGACAGTTTTGAATTTCTCGTTCGCTTTTTCAAATTTATATAACAATGAAAGCCAGAATTTTGTCGGAAAATTCTGATAATGAAGACTACTTTAATATTGGTACTCCACCAGAACTTACAGAAGCTGCAAGAAGAGCAGAAGCCAGTTTACTTCCAGAGAAAAGTAGGGGGCGATATGAAATAGCATTGAAAGTATACGAAAAATGGTGTGCCGAAAGAAATGCTAAGAATATTGCTTCGGAGACAGTCTTGATGGCATATTTTAGCGACATGGCAAGGCAGAAAAAGCCATCCACTCTTTGGGCTACGTACAGCATGACAATGCTAGAATTAAAGAAAAGACATATCACACAAAATATCACAAACTCGTCGCTTTTTTAAAACGCCAGAATGTAGGTTTTAAACCAAAGAAGGCTAGCATTTTTACCAGGCAAAACTTGGAGGATTTTCTCACGAAAGCACCTCAAGAATTCCTTCCTGTTAAAGTAAGGTTTTTTGTAAATGTTTTCTTCTTCTGTTTTTAAATATTTCTTTTCATTGTTTTAGGTTGCGCTTATAGTAGGTGTGTCTGGGGCATATCGAAGTGATGAGCTACTACGCATACTGATATTTTAGAAAACAAAATTTGCATAGAAATTCCCGATACAAAAACTTATAAGAGCAGATCATCTATGATAACTAACAATAATAATGAATTTATACAGTTACGAAAAGATATTGAAAATGAGAGATTTTTTGTTCAATATCGATTAGGAAAAGCTCGAAATCAACCCTTTGGATACAATTCTATATCTAAATTTCCGTACAAAATTGCTAGCTTTTTGAAACTTCCCAATGCGAAAACCTACACAGGTCATGCTTTTAGACGAACAGCGGCTATGTTGCTGGTAAATAGCGGAGCGGATATTTTACAGCTGAAGCGTCTAGGGGGATGGAAATCCAGTGCTGTGGCTGAGGGTTATGTGGAGGCATCTGTAGCCAACCAAACTAAAACTGCAAATATATCGTCAACGACATCGTTGCCATCGTCTTCCTGTAGCAATTCAAACTCTTTACCTTCTTTCGTTGACATTAGAAGACCTTGTACAAGTCAGGAGTTAAGTTTTTGCAGCAGTGAAACATCAATGAGTGAAACACATTATCAGGGCGGCCCCTTAACAATATCGATTAACGCGTACAATAAGTCAAATTTGGCCCCATTAATTTCAATAAATAAAATGTATTAAAATCTTCGATTATTATTGTTAATCTTCTTGTTTATTTTTGTTGATGTTAGATAAGTACTTAATAAAGATATTACAAGAATATTTTGCTTGCTTGAATTAAATGAGGCGAGAATAAACCGAGTGAGGAAAATGGGTGAGGGAAATGGAAGAGGGAAGAAATGTAGATAATTTGACACTTTCAAATTTTTTAAAAGTCAGTAATGTCAGTATTACATATGTGGTTGTAAAAAAAATACTTTTAACACGTGCGTCTCCATCTGTGTAAAAAAATGATTACGATAACAAACAGAAAACCTAATTTGGAGTTTTTCGTAACAGTGAGCCAATCTGAAGTTTGAATAAAAAAATAACTCACTGGAAAAGCTTTAAATATGCTAAAAATCAAAAAACACTGGCCTGTACCTTACACAATAGGGTTGCTAAGTCAGCCTTAAATTTTTTTTTCAAATTTATCGCCTTATCTTGGGTAGATTTTTTCTAAAATTAGTAAATCAATTATCTTCTGAAATATGACTTTTAATGTTATTTATAATAGTGAATATGTGAGAGAATATTCGACTAGGAGGTATAAAAAATACTTCACGTACCTTTACAACTTGAGCTTGTCCCAACCTGGCTGCCACATGCAGCGCAGCTTGACCGTGGAGGTCTTGCAGATCGAAAAGTGGTTCTGGAGATGGTTCGCTGGAAGAGCTTGCCAGAGACATCTGAAAATATCACAAAAAAAGTTATTAAGTTTATATGCATAGAAATTTTTCAAAACAAAATTTAAAATAAAGTTTAGAAATGGAGTTTTGAATTTCTAATTTTTAAATAGTACATAATCAACATTCACCAATGAGAGCAGTGACGATTTGAGAAACTACACTAAGATATAAAAAAACGCAACGGACATTTTTTTCGTCAAGTTTAAAATGTTATACAGGGTGGTCCGAACTGTATTCCGGAAACTTCGCCAACATATTCTGCAGATAAAAATAAGTAAAAAAGTTCGTATAAATGTATATCCTAAAATGTTTCCTTTCAGAGATACAGGGTGTAGAAGTTTCATTTATATTTCGATTTTTTCTAAATAATTTCTGAAGTGACGTCAACATTTGGATGAAAATTGGTGACTGGGAGTTTTTGACATGAAAAATTTGATTTTGGTGCCAATACGACTCCTACTAGTAGAGGGCGCCACCTACATGTATTTTAACAGTTTTGAAGCGTAATAACTTTTTGTCCGTACCTGTATAAAACTACCGAGCGAAAAAATATACATCTCTGTGACTTTTTACGTAAAAAATATCTCTTTGTACAAATCGCTACGTTCTTAAGATATTTAGGGTGGAAACAGACAATACATGTCATTATTGACAAAAAATAAACACGTTGCGAGTAGTTAATTATTTCACTGAAATAATAAATTTGGGAAATTTTTATTTTTTTAAATTAATCATAAATTTTTCTGCAAAAAATGATGATAAAACAGTTTCTGTTGAACTTTTGGCACAAAAACATTTCAAATTTATGATTTCAGTCTAATAACTATTTAGACAACATGTTTAATTTATGTCAATGATGACAGGTATTGATAATTTCGATTCCAAATATCTCGAAAACCATTACTCCTAGCGATCTTTACCAAGAGACCTTTTTCACGTAAAGAAAGTCGTAAATATAATTTTTTTTTTACTCAGTAGTTTTATACAGGTACGGACGAAAAGTTATTACAAAATTATTCGCTTAATAAAAAATCGTATTTTAAATTTCAATATAGAGTGCCATGGCTATGTTAAACACACTAATTCTTAATCAAGGAGCCTTGGAAAAATAGATTGGATCGTCTAATGTTTTTAGTGTCTTGTCCTGGCCAGTTAGAAAATGCTTCAATCGTATTTTTAATCATATCTCAATTTTTTCAAATGGAACGAGGGTGGCTCATTAGCATATTTGGAAAAAGCATTTTTTTGCGAATAATTTGATACCATACACTTGGTATCTCGAGTCAAATTTTCGTTACGAACCGCAAGTTATAATTTCAAATAAACCATATGCAAAAATGTCAAAAGTTGACATATGATATGTCATTATATTCAGAGTGATATTTTTAATAGAATAAAGTAAAAAAATACCGAAGGTGCTATTTAAAAATCAAAAGTTATAGTAATTTACGATGAAACAGGAAGTGACAGAAAACAATTGAATACGTCAATCAATCCTAATTTATGTTATATACTAACATAGCAAATTTCGTTTTTTTAACTGAAAAAATAAAAAAGTTATAGGGGTGAGCCACTTTTGAGACGCACCCGGTATGACATAAATTGGGATTGATTGACGCATTCAATTATTGTCTTTGGTCACTTCCTGTTTCACCGGAAATGACTACAACTTTTGATTTTTAAATGGTACCCTCGGTATATTTCTACTTTATTCGATAGAAAATGATATTCTGAATAAAATAACTAACGTTTAACATTTTTTTTTTGTTTAATAAAAAATTGTATTTTCAATTTTAATCTAGAGTGCGATGGCTATGTTAAAAACACTAATTATTCTTAATCAAGGAGCCTTGGAAAAATAGATTTGATTGTCTAATGTTTTTAATGTCTTGCTCTGACCGGTTAAAAAATGCCCAAATCGTATTTTTAATCATATCTCAATTTTTTCAAATGGAATGAGGGTGGCTCATTAGCATATTTGGAAAAAGCATTTTTTTAATAATTTGATACCACACACTTGATATTTCGAGTCAAATTTTCGTTACGAACCGCAAGTTATAATTTCAAATAAGCCATATGCAAAAATGTCAAAAGTTGACATATGACATGTCATTCTATTCAGAGTGTTATTTTCATCGAATAAAGTAAAAAAATACTGAAGGTGCCATTTAAAAATCAAAAGTTGTAACATTTCCGGTGAAACAGGAAGTGACCGAAAACAATTGAATAGGTACGTCAATCAACCTTAATTTATGTCATATTATACTAACACACCAAATCTCGTTTTTTTAAACTTAAAAAAATAAAAAAAGTTATATGGGTGAGCCACTTTTGAGACGCACCCGGAAGAAACTAGGGCTAAAAATAAACAAATATATAACATTTTAAACTTGGGCAAAATTTTTTCCGTTGCGATTTTTTGCATCTGAATGTATATCCATAAAATAACAGAAAAAATATTTCTATTTTTGAATTAAAATTGCAAACACAACTTCACAAATAAACGACTACTGTCAATGATATTTGCTTCTGGATCGAAAAGCAGATGCTACTAGTTGCACCTTCATACAGGATGGCGCCTCTCATACGCCACGGAGGCTCCAAGGAGAACGACAGTTTGTATTGAAATGAAATTTTGTTAGCATATGTAGGTTAATTCAGAGCACTTTTTAAAAATATAAAGAGTTCTACAGGGTGTGCTCAAAAAAAGTTACATATCAAAGTTGTCTTTTTTGTAATGGAACACCCTATATATTAATTGATTTTCGGAATCTGGGAGAAAAATAAACGCGAGATTTATAAGAGAAGACTAATATGTAAGGTAACTAATATGACTAAAATGTAAGGTTTTTGACATATTTAACATTTTCTAGCAATAAAGAACAATTTTTAAATTACAATTAAGGCTACCTAAATTGGAATTTACCCGGTATAGCCTAATATGTAGTTAAATTAGTTAGTTAGAAACTATTGTACTTTAAATCAAATTAAAACTTGATTCAAAAAGTTATACTGGGTGAGACAAAATTAATATTGAACATTGGTTACCTTTAAAAGCATGTTACTCTGTTATTTTAAATGGAACACCCAGTATATTATTCCGATATTCAATGGAGAATTCATGTCTCTTCAAAATACTATTAAGGTTGCCTACCCCTCAAAGAAAGATTTTCCTAGATATTTTCATTTACATGATTTGATCTGAGTAGATCTTTATACGAGTATTATTTGATAAAAATCTAGGTTACTGTGGTATGTCTGAAGCTACTTCAATATAGCTGTCTAATTAGTCCAACTTTAACAACTAGTTATCATTTTGTGTCAGTTAAAACAAAAAAAAATTCTCAGAAATCTACCGAAAATGCAAACTTATCCTACATCAGAAAGAATTGATATGATTCTATTAGTTGGTGAATGCAGTGTGCATTTACCAATTAATAGAATACTTAAATGCTCCTAATTTTATCTAGTCTGGGTTTCTTTTATGGGGATATGTTAAAGACAGTGTTTACAAAACTCGACCAACTAGTGTCGACAATATAAGAGAAATTATTGTAGCTGCTTTTCGAGTTAGAACTCCATATATGCCTTTTAAAATGAAAATATTCTTTTGAAAAGAAAATCATTTTATGCAGTTAACTGGAAAGGAAGCATTTTGAGCATTTGATTTCGTCTAGCTAATGTTTGTCGCATAATTATAGGTTTATATCTAGTTTTAATTCTGTAATAATTAAAATATATTTTAAACGTGTATCTTTTTATTACCCTTGAGCATTTTACTCTACAATCTTCAATTTTTGTTAAATTAACGAAAGGTATATCACACAGCCACCTAGATTTTTTTCAAATAATAAAGATTTACTGACGCAAAATCATAAAAATTAAAATATCTGGGAAAATATTTATTTGAGGGGTAGGCAACCTTAATAATATTTTGAAGATATATAAATTCCCCATTGAACACCGGAAAAATATACTGGGTGTTCGATTTAAAATAAATGAGTAACTTGCTTTTAAAAGTGACTAATGTTCCATATTAATTTCGTCTCATCCTGTATAACTTTGCGGGTCAAATTTCAATTTGGTTTAACATACAATGGTTACTGTAATTAAATATCAGGCTATACAAGGTGAACTAAAATTTAGCTAGCTGTTATCGAAATTTAAAATTTTCTCTTCATTTTCACAAAATGTGAAATATGTCAAAATCCTTATATTTTAGGTTAATGCTTCTTTAATAAAACTCACCTTTATTTTTTTCCTAGAATCCGAAAATTAATTAATATATAGAGTGTTCCATTAGAAAAAACACAACTTTGATGTGTAACTTTTTTTGGGGACACCCTGTATAATTCTATATATTTTTATAAAGTGCTTTCAGTTAACCTACATATATGCTGCTAAAATTTCATTTCGATATAAACTACCGTTCTCTTTGGAGCTTCTGCGGCGTATGAGAGGCGCCACCCTGTATGTAAGAATTCACTGATTGTGAAAATTCAAGATAAAAATTGATATTCTAATGTAAAATTAAAAAAGAAATAACTTTTAAAATAAAGTTTTAAAAGTTTTTTTTTTCGTAAAAAAAAATATTTTAAAATGCTGCCAATAAACACACTTTTAACCATTTGTTTTATTAGATCTAAAATTTGACAGATACCATGCAGAGAGGAATAAGTTTAATGCTGTAACAATATATATGACAGAATGTCATAAAACGACGTCAGAGTTGAACTTGAAAATGAAGATCGCTGCAAAATTATATGACGAATGTCATCGATAGTTATTTGCAAGCCAACTTGACGCCGTTTTTTTCTTCCGACCTATGATATTCTTTCGAAATAACAGACTATAATTAAGTTTACACATACAGACAACACAAATGTACTTTACCCTGCCATCAAAATATATCTAAGAATTGTTTAATAAAATCCAACTTTTTAACATATTTTTTAAGACCAAATCTGTAACCCATATGGATAGTTTAAGAACAATTGGAGAAAAAAATTTGGAAATCAATTCCACCGCATGCGAAATTCTGTCTGGTTTAAGCGCTAAAACTAATACAGGTTTTCTAAACTGCGGATCAAGGATTTCCCGTTGATAAATATAGAAGTGTTTGCATCAAATATCCGGGAATTTTGTTATTTTTGTGTAATACGTTAAAGACTTAAAACACATTTTTTTCTTAATAAATATATATGTATAATGATAACTTTTAATCTTTACGTATAAAATCCTAGCGAAACTGAATATCATAGAAGTGCTCTACTTAATTAAAAATAAATAAACATTCTGATGTATTAAATTTTATTTTGTTTACTTTCATACTTTATCTATAAACTAAAAATTCAGCGTGCTGGTGGGAAACATAAGTAAATATAGATCCACCCTAATCTATACGGTAGCCTTTATTGGATTTTGTACTTAATTTAGTCACTGTATAAGATTTTCTATTTTTTGCCATTTAAGTTTAATCAGTTGTTTCGGCAAACTTTTGTTATGCCTATTATATATTTGTATTCAGCTGATGCTGATACTCTTGTAAAACGGGCAAAATAAATGATGTAAACAAACACAAAAGTGACGGTTGTATAAACAAGTATTTTGGAAACTCTCTCGGTTTACTTATTTCTCTAAGGGTGACTGGAACGACGCCGACGTCCCGTAATCCTGCTGTTAAAATATAACAATTGGTTTTTATATATAAAAACCAGTTGTTATGTTTTAACAGTAGGATGACAGGACGTCGTTGCAGCCACCCTAAGGTGTATTATTTCTGTAAATCTATCTATATTTCTTTTAACTATGTTTTCTGTATGCCTGTAAGTAATGCCTGTAAGTATGCCTGTAATGTAAAGTTCTGGAAAATTAAAATAGAAAAATAAAGTTTTCCTGAATAACAGTTTCTGATAAAATTATTTATATCTTCTCTGCCAATGTGCATTAGCAGTTCGTTTCTTAGAAAGTATCGAATATCAAATGGCCCCACTTTCAAAAATATAGTGTAGTAAATTTGATCTTAAAGCTTAAAATAGGAATGGCGACCGGTTTTGGATTTAAAAATATATTTCTAGTTTTATTCGATCTTAAAGTTTGTTATTCCTAAAATACAGAATTTCTCCACTATCCTTTTAAAATTTTAATATTTTTACCGGGTGCGTGTCAAAAGTGGATCACTCTTTTGACTTTTTTATTTTTTCAGATAAAAAAAACGAAATTTGGTATGTTAATATATGACATAAATTAGGATTAATTGACGCCGTATTCAATTGTGTTTGATCACTTTCTGTTCAACCGGAAATGCCTACAACTTTTCATTTTTAAATAGCACACTCGGTATATTCCTAGTTTATTCGATAGCAAATTACACTCTGAATAGAATTACATAACATGTGTCAACTTTTGACATTTTCGGATATGGTTTATTTGAAATTGTAACATGCGGTTCATAACGACAATTTGACTCGAAATAACAAGTGTGTGGTACCAAATTATCCGTAAAAAAATGCTGTTTCCAAATATGCTAATGAGCCACCATCGTTCCATTTGAAAAAAATGGAGATATGATTAAAATACATTGTGGGCATCTTTTAACCGGCAAGGACAAGATACGAAAAACATTAGATCAAATCTATTTTTCCAAGGCTCCTTGACACTCTAGATTAAAATTTAAAATACGATTTTTTTTTTAAGCGAAAATGTCAAAAGTTGGCATAAGATATGTCTCTCAGTGTAATTTTCTATCAAATAAAGTAGAAATATACTAAAAGTGCCATTTAAAAATCAAAAGTTGTAGTAATTTCCGGTGAAACAGGAAGTGACTAAAAACAATTGAATAATTCAATCAATCCTAATTTATGTCATAAGCGGCGGCCATACGGTAGCGACTTGCCTGCACGGTATAGTTTGCGCAAACTAGAAGGAACACTGTGCGGTGTCCACACGATGCAAGTAAGAGCGTACATTCATCATTTTTATTCTGAATTTGTGGTTCCGTTCGTGGAAATGTCAACTGACGAATTATTGTTTTGGTTTGGCTTATTATTGCTTATTGTTAAAGAAAAAACAGCAAAATAAACAGTATAGATCGAAGTGGAAACTGGCTTTTAAATAGAAAACCATTTTCTTGTACGCATCATTTTTTCTGTTTCTATCGGAATAATCTTTCGATTTTATCTTCCATAGGCGTGGCAACGATCAATATCTTTCAATGAAACTCGTCATAAACTCCTTATTGGAATAAGTACGCATATCAGACATTTTCTAAGAGTTGATAACTAATAACACAAAACCCACAAAACTGTACCTTGAACTCGCTGATACCTGCTGATACCGTCTACACGTATGATATCACTGCACAAACTGGTTTGCGCAAACCAAAATCTATATCAGCGCGACGTTTACGCAGGCCGCGCTTGTTGGTTTGTGCGCGCTACCGTTTTACCGTCTACACACAGCGAGTTCCTGATACAAACAGGTTTGTGCAGGTAAGCTCGTGGTAAAGCTTGTACGTGTATATATATATATATATCTATATACTAACATACCAAATCTCTTTTTTTTATCTGGAATATATTTTATTTTAATCTAGTTTTCCAGATAAAAAAGGACGAGCTACTTTCGAGACAAGTATTAACAAACTTTCAAAACATACCAATAAATTGACTCTTTCCTGAAGTTTTTCAAAAAATAAAATATTAGAAAAACAACAATAAGTGAGATAATGAATATTAAGAGTCAATAATGAATATTCCGAGGTATAGTTTATCTGAAGTCAATTGGAATAGATTGGGACTCTTAATTTCAGCACTGTCTTTGTCGGTGCCTCATCGTCTTATTCTTAATCTAAGATCGGGACTAAGGAATTAAGAGTCTCACTACTTTCAATTGACTTCGGAAATACAGTAATATTAAATAACAGTAATTTTACTTTTTAGCTTCAGTTCACATTATATTTTTTTTGTTAAGTTCATTAAAAAATGAGTCTTGCCAACCCATGTTATTCACCCATTGACTACAAATGGCAGAGTGGCAATAGACATTTGTACTTTAAGAGTCCAGTTAAGAGCTCTCTGATGGCAGACTGCGTTACTTGCCATAAATACAGGTGACGTGATACCATTAAGCTTCATTCAGAACCTCAAAATCAGTGGAATAAATTAGTAGTTTCAATTAGCCGTAGAAGTTTGTTTGGCTAATTTTAATGTAAGCATTCAGAACGTCATAATTAGTGGTAGTAATTTTCAATTATTGGAAAAAGTTAACAAACTTTTGACTTTTCCATTGATTATACTTCAAAATTTGCGAGGAATGTTATTTTGGCCTTTGATTATTACCCGCCAAGAAAAATTTTGGTTAGAAATCAAAAGTTTATTGTTTTATAAGCTAAATATTATGCTTTCTCTATGGATACCAGAGACTACCACAAGCTGTTGCTAGGATGTTTTATTAATTTTAATTGTGATTTTTAAACATTGTGAATGATCTTAAACTAAAAAGTATAAAGTATAATTGAAACCACTAATTTATTCCACCAATTGGGAGGTTCTGAATGAAGCTTTACTCTGAATTTGAAATGTACAATTCTGATTAGTTTTTTAGAAAATTAGTTAGTTTCCAAATAAAGTTCGTTAGTCTACGAACAATTCCAATCACTCACCTGACTTCCATAGTCACCTTCACCCACATCCTGTTGCTCCACAGCTCCAGCTTCAAGCAGAAGCTTCAGCACCTTCTGATCCGTGGGCAAACAAGCTCCGAAATTAACACCCGCCGTTTCGTTGCCCTCCAGCAAGCATTCTTCCACCTGACACCCGCTGCATATCAACCACAAAACGGTCAAAGTGTGCGTGTCCAAAGCCGGGTGGACTACGGTTTTGCTGGACAACGGCCCGTCCAGCAAGGTGCAAGAAGTGGCAGTGTTATTGAGGGAGGAGGCGGTTGTCGTGTTTTCAGCTACAAGGAGGTTGTTCTCGCAGCTGGTGGTGAGTAACGGGTCGACGCATTCGATGTTTTTGGGTATCTAGAAGATAAATAAAGGGTTTAAAAGATAAGGGAATGAACAGAAAACCAATATTTTAGTAAAAATTTAATTCTGCTGTAGCAAACAATAAAATTTTAATCATCTCGTTTCGTTTTATACAAATGAAAAGCACGATAGCTGTATGGACTAGCGCTCATTTAAGGGTTATGAAATTAACAGACAAAGCCAAGTGCAGATTCTGTCGATCATAACAACAGACGGCAGAACATATTCTAAGCCAGATCCACAGCCTGACAAATGTGCGGTTTTTGTACTATGGTATGTACGAGGTTTTTTTCGCAAAAAAAAGATCATCGTGCATTTTCTTTTAAATTTTCCTGTATATTTTTCGAAAACTTTTTAGAACTGCCTGTTCACCACAAATTCTATGGCAAAATCTCTGATATTGCCATAGTTACAGCTTTACTCTATGGTTACGGCACTAAAACGAATGCAAATACAGAAAAAAGCTGGTGGCTCTCAAAATTTTTCCAAAAGAAATCTATTTTTTTTTAATTTTCAGACTTAAATAACTCGATTATTTTGGACTTATTTGAAAAATGTTTCTTTTATCGAGATATACCAGTCCTGAAAATATTTGCAGTTATTTAAGACTCACCCTGTATAAAAGGTTCAGTCTTCAACTTTTCGCAAATTACCTATAATTTGCGAATTATATAATTACCTATATAATTTGCGAATCCAGTCCTAACTGGATTCGTAATCTAGACATAAAAAGAGGACCACAATGGATCTAGCACTGGGATAGGCAATTGCTACCTCAAAAAATCAATATATCTAAGAAATAATGCAATGATTGGTAGAGAACGAACAAAAGAAAAAATTAATATTTTTAAGCAAACTTGAAGCTGAAACCTCAGTTTTACCAATGTCTTTACTTTTTGCTTCATTGTCGTTTACCAATACCATTACTAATCTTGTGTTTATTTAAGTGAAATTTTAAATTTAATAAGAAATATTTGATAATGAGGAAAATCACATGTATAACAATTTATCTATTTTGTAAAATTCTATGTTCTAGTCTAAGTGTATGGCACACTTGAGGCATAGAACCTAGCGAAGCGTAGATAAAAAAAGTTTAAAACTAAAAAGTTTTAAAAAATGGCAAAAAATAAAGATAAAATACAAATAATAAGAGGTAAAAATTCAGCAAGAAAATGAAAAAAAAAGAAAACCTCTAGAATCATAGCAACTGAAATAAAAAGTTTAAAATACGGACACAAATTACACAGTGGCTTTATTCTCCGTACACAACTGTACCTAATCAACAAAACTTATATACAGGGTGTTTCAAAACAAATGCGAAAAGCTTTAGGGGGTGATTCCTTGTTCAAAATAAAGGGTAGTTTGCTTTATAAACGTTGGGTCAAAAGTCAACCATTAGGGAGATATCGCGGTACAAAGATGGCGGAAAAATAATGTTTTTATTTTTTATCTTGAAAACGAAAAGAGATAGACTAATGAAATTTTATGGAAGCATTACCTACTGTTATAAAAACACACTTTCAGGTAATTTTTTTACTTTTTAAAATGAGTGGAAGGGGTTGAAATAAACTATCCCTATCATTCTTGTTAACGAAATTTAAAGAAAAATCTTATCAAACACATGCAAATGGTTTAATTTGGATAGTTTTGTTTGTTTAGAAACTTTTTTACCTCTTGTGTTTTTTTCATAAAACTCACCGATTGGAAATTAAAAAATAAAATGTAAGGCATTACATGTCAGGACAAAAAACATTTTTAGATTAAGAATCTAGTGATAATAACGATAATAATAATCATCTAGATAATAACGTATTGCAGTAGAGTAATGTCAAATAAATAATATTAGGAACATTCTAAAAAGTAACAGCGGCCGACTAGATTTTTTCCTAAAAAAATTACAGCAGCCCACTCTATTCTTTATCAGAAAATGTTTTTTGTCCTGACATGTAATGCTTTACATTTTATTTTTTAATTTCAAATTGGTGAGGTTTATCAAAAAAATACAAGAGATAAAAAAGTTTCTAAACAAACCAAGCTATCCAAATTAATTTTTTTGCATGTGTTTGATAAGATTTTTCTTTAAATTTCGTTAACAAGAATGATAGGGGTAGTTTATTTCAACCCCTTCCACTCATTTTAAAAAAGTGAAAAAATTACCAGAAAGTGTGTTTTCATAACAGTAATGTTTCCATAAAATTTTATTAGTCTATCTCTTTTCGTTTTCAAGATAAAAAATAAAAACATTATTTTTCCGCCATCTTTGTACCGCAATATCTCCGTAATGATTGACTTTTGACCCAACGTTTATGAAGCAAACTACCCTTTATTTTGAACAAGGAATCACCCCCTGAAGTTTTTCGCATTTGTTTTGAAACACCCTGTATATACTGTACCTAAACAACAAAAAATATTCTATTGTTATTTCAAAGTATTTATATTTCTATTTGTTGTTGAGTTAAGGAATGTCATCGATGTTCATTTCCAAGCCAAGTGGACGCCTTATTTTTCCCAATCATACGGTATAAACATTGCTTAAAAGATAAAAATTGAAGATGTAAAGATATATTCCTTAATAAAAATCAAACTATACTTTTTGACAAAAATCAAAATAAAAGGATGTCTATTATTAGAGTAATTGTATTAAAATAGTCTATAGTGACTCTCACCACGAATAGGTTTTAATAGCTGTTATAACCGCTCTAATTTTATAAAACGACCACATTTCCAATACGAATATAAACACATCTGGCAGCCGAATGCCGTTATCAATGAACTTTTCCCATTCAGAATTGCAATAGACCCCCAGCAGATAAAACGCGAAATGGATATTATCGAAATAAAACTTGTTTCGTTTTTATTTGCTAACAATACGACGAACTTTTATCTGGAAAAGTTACATATATACAGTGTGGTACCTCTCATACGACTCGGACTCTTTAAGAAGAACGATCATTTGAATTAAAAAAAATACAGACCATACTATCATAGACAAATGAAACAAGTTTAGATTGGAAAGTGCCCATAAGGACAATGTAAACCCTATTTGGCGCTATTCTTGCAACGGTCGCGACCCAAAGCTTTTAATAATTTCAGATCGATTCGGGTTTTTCCGGAATTATGTCGTCAAATATTATTTATTCAAATATATTATTATTTTCTTTTAATTTTATAAATAAAATACAATGTGTTACATACATGAAACTTTATTTTATATAAGGACTAGCGTGTACCAGCACAGATTAAGTATACTATATGTATACAGATAAAAATCTTATCCCTAATTCGTGGTACGAAAATTGTTTTTTATGGCGATGTGCAAAACGAGTCAAATTTCCTGTGCGCAAAAATAAACTCGCGTAAAATAACAATAAACAGCGTAATAGAGAGATATCGCTAAACCGAATAGAGTGCATGGACGTTAATAAGGCCAGGTATTATTTCCTTTACGTCAGGTGGTAAAGATAACTCTAGGTGGTAAGGTGGTAACTCTAATAATAATAACTCTACGTGGTAAAAATAACTCTCTTCGTTTATAGTTATCGGATCGGAAAGAATTCTGTTCGTGTCCCGTCCGCTATTTAAACTTAACCTAGAATTTTTTTTTAGAATTTAGAAATTCTAAAATTCTAAACTTAACCTAACTTTGAATTTAAAACTTTGAAATTGTTTTGTTTACTAGGTATTTTAAAAGTAAAGGGCTAAAGTGCTTATTTCCAGTGCTTTATTGTTCAACGTCTGCCAGTGGGTTTAGGGCAACAAGCAACAAATTCTCTTAGAAGGGCGTGTCGTCATCTGCTGTATACCTAAGCCTCTTTATAGGTTCTTTAATATTGGAAGAGGTGGAAGAGGAAGAATAAAACTAATTCCAGCTACTTAAATATCAAATTACCTAATAAAACTAAAGTAATAATTCAAAACAATTCAAACATAACCTAAAATAAAAGATCTCGCCGGCCGGCCCCGGTTGTCAAATACCCGCACATGCCCATTAAGCAATTTTTAAACGTTATTATTTAGAAATAGCGCTTGGTGTAGTTGATCCGCAAATTACGTCAGGCTTTTATATTTTTTGAAGATTCTGACTTTGACAAGAGAAAATTATTTCTGTTATTATTTGGCGGTTGTTCTTAGCAACCGCTATAGCAGCGCCAGAAAATGCTTACAACGGTCGCGACCCAAAACAATTATATATTCTAGCGGGCTTTCCAAACTAAATATATTTCCTCTATCTATGCATACTATTTACCAATGAACTAAAATAATAGCAACTGTCACCGTCGAGAAACCTCGTTTTGCATTGTTACCTGTTCAGTTTTAATTTAAAAATAGATGCAGTTTTTCTCAAATTACTTAAAAACGGCTTGCCCAAAATTGTTCAAATTTGGCATGTGTTTTCAGCATAACCAGACTTTTAAAAACCCTATTTACGACTTCACTGCAAAATTAATAGGGGAGCCAATATTTGGACAGTTCAAAATTTGCATGACATGACCTATGTTTCCAACGACGATGCACCACCCTGTATACCGATCTGGTCATCGAAACTGCGTGGTCTGGGTTTTAACGTATAAGACAGTGATGCAAACAGCTTAAATGAAAAATGAAATGTATTAAAAAGAAATAAAAGTTAGGTTGATACATTTTTTCTATGCGGTATTGTCGGATTTTGCATCAAAATTTCAAACAGGTGTTTACGAAAAATGTTGCATCTAGGGTTGGAACTTTATTTATCACTATTAGTTACTCGTTTTACTACAGCTGTAATAGATTCTTAAACAACTGTCTAACATAAATGAGCATTATTGAATAGCTTAGATACAGTTCATACCAAATAAACTTTTAGTCACGTGATTAAGTTTGATCGGTACAGCGTTGCCCACTTTTATATATTATTTTTAATCAAAATAGTTTAGGAAACAAAAATAAATTAATTATAAAAAATATATAAACAGTTATTATTTACATCATCCAAACTCGCCTTCTTAACAGTACTTACGGGACATAAACGACCATTACTACCGCTTTACCGTTCAAAATATTCTAATAAAGTTGCGATGAGTTTTTTACGGCTATTAAGCTATCTTGTACACTTGGCACTAAAAGAGGTTCTAAAAAGAACAATTCGACTGCTAGTAAACATTTTCAAGCTTCACAACACTATTTATTTAAACCAAAAACTCGTAACAAAAAACTAAAGTGTCAAAACGAATGACAATGTCAGGAAATAAATAAATAAATGCGGCAACTTGACATTTTTTTACAGCAGAGCTACGACCTGAATCCCTAGCGCGAAATTTAAATTCCAGTTAGTCAGCACGGCGCCGAATATGCCCATGGTTCGCAACAATGAATTTAAAAATCGCGCCCTCGATTACGTAGCTAAAAGTTTAATTGATATGAAATATATATTATCTTCGTTTATTTTATTTCTCATACGAACCGGCAACACTGTATGTCGGTTTCTATTTTGCCTCTCTCGTCTGTCAACCGGTCGTATATAGTTATCTCTGTCCTATACATTAAAGTCCAGACCACAGAAATAAAGTGACCAGGGCTAGTATATAATGTTCTTGTTAATAACTAATACAGTATTGTGATAAATCTCGGTTCAAAAAATAACTGAATGAAAGTAAAAAATCAGCTACTAAAAGTAATAAAAATGCCATTACTTGATTAGAAGTTTTTCTCAGTTTGTTCACCTCTGCGTAGATTGGATGTTTGTCCGACGACGGACTCTTCAAATTGACATTTTCGAATTTCGTTTCGATGTTGCCGTCGTCCAGATTATTTTGACTGGTCTCGGTGTCGACAAAACTCGTATCCAGACCGTCGACGTTGTCTAGATCGAACGTCAGATCTTTCTCGTAGGTTTTTGTCAATTCCTTGAAAGACAACAGACAAGTAAAACTTGCACTTAAGCTCGAGCAATCAAAACACGGCGTGTTCTGATTGCTAGAGCTATATTATTATAACTTCAACCTTATTTCAGAATAAAAGCATAAAAAACAATTGCATGCGAAGGCCATGTGTCAATCAAAAAAAATGTCCCTTGAAAAAGTCAATGTCTTAATTATTATGCTTAGAAGGAAGTTTTATGAAGTTTTTGCTAATAAATTAGGTCAATCTACGTCTATATATAGTTTGAATAAAAATATTAAGGAAGGAGTATAATGCTATATATGTATTCATGCATGGTAGGAGAAGGTGGGGATCTAGGGTGGGGATCCTTGACAGTACTGTTTGACGATTTATTTGACACATTTGAATTTGATTCGAAATTTTGTGGATTTGTCAGTCTCTACTAAGGTTTTTTACTTTTTTTGACTTTACCTGCACCCCTTCATACCTGGAGTCTCCACTGTTTAAAGGCTACCCGTACTGGCAAACGTGGGCCTCTGCCACTATAAATCACAGAGGTGGCGCCCGAGAGATCTAGATTTACCACTAGGCGTCAATAAGGCTATTTTTCACAGAACCAAAGAAATAGCCTTACAGTAGCGTGCGGTAAATCTCAGTCAATAATCGAGAGAAATAATGGAATAACTTTTCGCTAGTAAGTGACTATATAATATAGTAAACTGATCACTTATAAAAAATTCACTTAAAATTAACTAATTACATATTTCTTCTTGCATTTTTGCTTTTATTTTCAACTTGTCAAAGATTAGATGTCAAAGAATTTAGATACATCAATTTGACTTATCAACTTCAGTAGCGAATCTGACGTGTGTGTTGTCGTAAATAATTATTATAACTTATCTATTTTTATTAGAATTATATATTTTCATAACAATTTTAATAACTATAGCAACATTTTTTATTGACTGTTGGGCAATAAAACAACAAATTATTGAATCTACCCTACACCCTACATAATATTTTTACACGTTTTGAATAAAATTAGAACGGCATTGATAGACCGGAATTTAAGTCGGCCATTTTTGGCCTACATCGCGCTCGACTTAAATTTTTTGATATTGTTACGTTTTTCGTCCATTCCTTTAGTCTAATCTATTTAAACATCTTTTATTTTACACTAAGTAAAAATACGATAACGATAAAACTACTTAAAGAACTATTAACTTATTATTATCAACTATTTATCTAACAGGAATTTATTTTGAATTTAGCGCGGCAATTGTACGCGTCGACCGATCTCTTTGTTTCTGTCACTCTTTTGCGCAGGCCTCGGGTTATATACCCACAGCTAAACAGTTCTCGAATAGTCCATTAGATTATTAGATGCATAGAGAAAACTTGTAGAATGTTCTCATATGTACGGCGCCATTCCAGTGGAACTCAATTTTTCTTGAACGTTCGATGAGTCACGTTCGTCTCTTCTTTAATGCGATATTAAGGTCATATAAGGGTGGGACATATTAGAGCGGATTAGGCTGAGTCCACACAGGTCCGCAACAATATGCTCCTTCCTTAATCTTTTTATTCGAAGATAAGGTAATACAGTTTTAAAATCTGATAGAAAATTGTACATTTACTGTACCAAAAATACATTTCTGCCCCTTTTTAACAAAAATCACCCAACGTTTTTTGAAAAACGTTTAATACAAAATAATCTTAAAAAAAAACAAAAAAGTTTGAAGTACGCGAGGACCTATTCAGACAAGAAGCGGCTGTACTACCACAGATTAGGTATACTATATGTATACAGATAAAAATCTTATCCCTAATTCGTGGTACAAAAATTGTTTTTTATGACGATGAGCAAACGAGTAAAATTTCCTGTGCGCAAAAATAAACTCGCGTAAAATAACAATAAACAGCGTAATAGAGAGATATCGGTAAACCGAATAGCGTGTATGGACGTTAATAACGCCAGGTGTTATTTCCTTTACGTGAGGTGGTATTAACTCTCTTCATTTATAGTTATCGGATCGGAAAGAATTCTGTTCGCGTCGCGTCCGCTATTTAAACTTAACCTAACTTTGAATTTAAAACTTTGAAATTGTTTTGTTTACTAAGTATTTTAAAACTAAAGGGCTAAAGTGCTTATCTCCAGTGCTTTATTGTTCAACGTCTGCCAGTGGGTTTAGGCAGTGGCGGATACAGAGGGGGGCCCATGGGGCCCGGGCCCCCCCTAAAATCTGTAAATTGGGTAAAATATTAGGCTTTTGGGTTAAAAATGGCGCCCTAAAAAGCAAATTCTACCTTTGGCCCCCCCCTAAAATAAATTCCTGTATCCGCCCCTGGGTTTAGGGCAACAAATTCTCTTAGAAGGGCTAAGTCGTCATCTGCTGTAAACCTAAGCCTCTTTATAGGTTCTTTAATATTGGAAGAGATGGAATCCATATTTTGGGCCATATTTATTTAATTAAAACTAATCCCAGCTACTTAAATATCAAATTACCTAATAAAACTAAAATAATAATTCAAAACAATTCAAACATAACCTAAAATAAAAGATCTCGCCGGCCGGCCCCGGTTGTCAAATACCCGCACATGCCCATTTAAGCAATTTTTAAACGTTATTTAGAAATAGCGCTTGGTGTAATTGATCCGCAAATTACGTCAGGCGGTAACGTTATTAGCGGGCGTTGCCTTAAAAATTGACTCGCGCATATCGTAACTGTCAAAATAAGGTACGCGTAAATACTGCATGAGGCTATTCGGTTTTCCGATATCTCTCGAATAACTGGGCTGGTCAGGCGCTGTGCACAATTGCAGGCGGGTAATAAGTGGGCGTGCTATGTGCGCAAACCAGTAACCTAACTAGTGCCCGATTCCGAAAATTGGAACCACGAAAAACAATAAAGAAAAAACAAAGTTTATAATCTGTATAATCTGTGGTACTACTGCACGAGAACAATAAACAAGAAATCCTGGAAAAAGCTATACCTGTAGTGCTTTCAAATCCGCGTAAATCTCCGTCGACGTCTTCTCCAGAGAATTCCCCGACCCGGCACCTCCCCTGTCCTGCGTCAGTCGGTACATCAACGTCGGACACTTCTGGCCCGGTTTCTCGCTGAGGAACTGCTCCATCCTGGTCAGGTGGAACGCGTAGTCGTAGATCTCCTGGTTGTTGAGAGTGGAGGCGTGCAGGGTGTAGTACATGGCGAGGACGCAGTGCCCGTGGAAGATGTTGCACAGGTACTTCTGGGTGCAGTGCTTGATGTCCAGCAGCCACTCGGCGAAGGAGTGGTGAAAGAGGCGGACGCAACCGCCCTTGGATATGACGATCACGCGCTTGAGGAGGTGGAAACGTTTGCGGAAGTCTTCCAGGGTGATTTTCGAGTTGTTGACCTGAGTAAAAAAAATGTTAAGGAAAATGAAATAAACACTTTGTCCAAATATACTAGGTAATAGAGATAAGCAAAACTGCGATTCTCCCCTTGCGATTTTTAAATCCCAGCGACTCTAACTTGCGATTGCGATTTTAATATTTACCAAACCAAATTATTTGTAAAAATGCTTTTTCATATGATTAAAAATACGATTTGGGCATCTTGGCACCTGGCCAGAACAAGACGCGAAAAACAATAAACAATCGAATCTATTTTTCCAAGGCATCTTGATTAAAAATTAATGTTTTTAACACAGCTATGACATAATAAATTGAAAGTCCATTCTATTCAGAGTGTCATTTTCTATGAAATAAAAATTAAAAAATACCGAGGGTGCCATTTAAAAATCAAAAGTTTTCGGTGAAACAGGAAGTGGCCAAAAACATTTGAATACGTCAATCAATCCTAATTTATGTCATATACTAAGATACTTGTTTTTTTATCAGAAAAAAATAAAAAAGATATAGGGGTGAACCACTCTTTAGAAACACCCGGTATATTATGATCGTGGCCCTAGAAAAATAATACCCTCTCTATAAATAAATAATATCAGAGAGAAAATTCAATCGCAGTTTACTATAAAATGCTTCAATCGCAACTCGAAATTTAAACTCGCAGATAGAAATCGCGGTCCCAGTTTACAAAATCACAATCGCAGGAAAATGAAGATCGCTGTCATTTTATATGTAAAATTAGATGAGGAATGTCATCGATGTTTATTTCCAAGCCAACTGGACGCCGTTTTTTTTCGATCATACGGTATAATGTTCATATATTTTATATAATGTATTAACGTGTATAATTCGAGGTATAATTTTATAATGATGTTAACATATTTGGGCAAATTATATATTTTATTTTGTAACGGCTTTCTAAAATTTTAAATAAATAAATCACTGATAAAAAAAGATATATAATTGAATGAAAAAAATCTAATTTAATAATTTTATTCCTTGTAACTTTTCCTACAAACTACATTTATTCAGGTTTTTTTGTAAATAGAATAACAAAACCCAAGAGTGTGAGTATGTTATATGTTATGATTCCTAGAATAAAAAAAAAAATTTTTTTGGCAAAAACATCACTTACTTTAAACTTGAGTAATTCGTTTTATTTCTTCGTATTTATGGCTCAACTAATAAATTTGATTTACCTCGTTTAATGGAACAATTTCATTTAAAATACTAGAAATAGCTTCAGAAATTATAATCTTGTAAAAAAATGATTTGAATTTTATATTAGGTATCCTGTAATATTTTAGAATAATATTTCTTATTAAAATTTTCTATATTGACAAACTCTGCTTTTTATTATAAATTACTCAAATGCCCAGACAAATGCTTAATGATTAATACATAATAAAATTAGACCCCCATATTATCAAAAGTATGAATTATTAATATACATAATAAAATGTTTCTGCCTTGAGCCAATGTAAATAAATGAATGAATATTTAGACAACCATTGAAATTCATAAACAGAGACATTTGAATTGAAAATTAAAGTAACATAAAAATCTATAAACTTACCTTAACAATATCATACAACAATGCTTCATTCAACGCACATTTAGCAGCTAAAATCACGTTTAGCAAAGGCTGTACTTTCGCAAATTGTCTCCTGTTAAATAACCTCTGACACAGCCACAAATATAGTCCATTCAAAGTTCCAGGAATTTCACGTATCTCCCTCAACACTATAAAATTATCAGCCACACCATCTAGCACTTTCTCTAAATACAGAAAGCAACCATTGCTTTTAATATGTAACTGATTGAGCATCTCGGCCGTATCTCTACTTATGTGTTGTCTAAGGCTGTTTTCCTGATCTAAACGTGCTAAAATATATTGTTGGACGTCCCGAACAACTTGCGTCTTCCTCAAATCATCCAGACTGAGTTTTCTGAAGCCAGTGAACATTTTTGCAATGCTCTTTGACTGTTTTTTAGCTGTGCACACCAACAGTAACCACTGAGGGAATAAATGATGGTGGTTTGCTAGTAGTTCTGCTATAGTTCTAGATTGGGAGCTTCTTTCCTTAGGTTTTGACCTGGTCAAAGTAGAATTTGAATAAACAAAACTGTGCTCATCGATTGAATCGATAATAAGGAATAGGGATGTTTTTGGCGGGTCAATTTCAAGTAACGGAAACAATAAAGCTCTCTTTAAACAGTCATCTGGATTACTTTCTATATTCTTTGCTCTTAAAGCAATTTGAATTTCAGGATCAGACTTTAACTTCTCTAAATAGGCATCTGCAATCACCGTGCGAGGATTTACTGGTAGAGTTGAAATAGCAGCAGGTTCGGTAGACTCCAAATTAGAATATAAACTTTCTTGAGGTACATTTTGCTTTTCTTGCGCCAATTTTCTTCTGATGCTCCGCTCTTTATGACTCTCTGTTGAATGATTTAATATTTGTGTAACTAAGGATCGCACAAATTCACTCAAAGAAAGACTTTTTTCATTATGGCCTTGCAAGAAATGGTAGCAGAGCAGTCTTCGGTTTAAGGCTCTCTGTTGTCTGCCTGAAGGACCTTGAGAGGGCCAACATAACTCTGAACAGAAAGTGGTCTTGCCGCAGCCTGAGCTACCTAGTAAAAGAGCCCCACAAGTTTTCGAAACGGGTCTCTGATCTAAACAGTGCAGGAGTTTTTGGAAGGCCCACTCTCTACAATAAAACTTCTTCCTGTCTTCTTGGGCCATGGTAAAAAATAAATCTACATGTATTTGTCGAACGGACGTCAAATAATTGGGCTTTAGGTAACCTTCTCACAGTAAACAATTCCAGTCTTATAATTCGCTCAGTTTACGTATTAAGTTGCACTAATCTACATTTTCCAAGAAATTCAGTTACCTCTTTCTCATAAAACATGAGTTACCGAATTTAAGAATATTTGTTTTAGTATTTTCCATAGCCAATGTTTCCAAAAAGTTTTCACTAAAATGAAAAAAAATATATTATAATTAATAACGCGTAACCGAAATTAAAAATCTGAACATAATTTGCATCACAATGCCCACAAGCCAAAAAGCACCAAATTACGTTGTAAAAACAATAACTAATTAAAATATGAAATGGGATAAATTCTAAGTTCAATGTAAATTTAATTTTTTTAAGGTCAAAGATGACTCATAGACTTTTAAAAAGGAGATTGTGCATCGAAAAAGTGCAGGGGGAAATAAGAAATACGCAAATTTTAGAAGAGATAATTGAGAAATTATTTTCATGAAAGTTATTATCCATATAAGTCTAGATTTTATTAAAAAGTTATAAAAAGTGGAATGTGATACTATGAAATAAACAAAGCAAAATACTAATTTAAATACAATATAAAACACTGGAGAAGCATAATAAATTTAGTGACGACAAAATCAATTTAAAACACACTGTTTACACTAGTTAATTTATAATTTTGTCTAAATAGGAGATAAAATTATCGCCTAATTCCTCGTCTCCGAAAACACCCACGTACGGCCTTCAAATTATAACAAAATTCAGTTGAACTTACCACTTTCTATTCAGAAACTAACTTCGAACTAAAAACACCCCAAAACGAAACCGCTTTAATAAAATTTTCTCTTTATTTATTAATTTTTTGCCATAAATATTTTTGGTTATGACAAAATCTCTGTCAAACTGAGTAATTGATAATGTCACCGGCAGAGAGCGCCTGCCCCGAAGCACCAAATTCAAAAAATCACTGCCACTTTTCTGATTTTTGATTAATCAAAAGGATTGTGAAATAAATGTCACTAAAAATTCGAAGTATAAAACTATAAAAGTAAATAAATTGTTGTTAAAAAAGTAATGGCTTGTGCAAGATGCGGTTCTGGCATATACAAAACCGAGGAATTTATTTCGTTGAATAAAGTGTGGCATAAACATTGCTTCAGCTGCTGTAAGTTGATCTAATTATTTATTATTTTCTTGCCTTTGTGTAGGTTGTTAATTTGCTGTTAAAAATGTGTTAAAACGATTAGAAAATTTTAAATTTAGACTTTATGGCTTGTGAAAAATCAATAAATATTTTTCGCCCTCTTTTGTCCGATGGCAATACTTCCACAGATAAATAATGAAGAGACCTAACTGGATTTCAGTTCACACGAGTATTCATAGGTGGCACCGTCTTGATTTATGTATAATTTGTTTAAAATTTAAATTTGAAAAAGTGTCATAAATAATTATATAACTTTAAAAAATTGTCAGTGTTTTTGGTAAAAAATTAAAAGTGCTTTTTTCTAATTTCTCTTTCTAATTCAGATCAATGCGCGAAACATCTTGACAAGGACAAGGCAAAGGTTTTTCAAGGAGAGCTTTTCTGCGAATTTTGTTATAATTCGGTTATAAAAAAACTGTTCGAGGTTTGTGTTGCTCATTATATATGTGTTTGGTCCACAGTTTTTGGAATTTGTAAGAACTCTTTTTAGGTACTCTCTCAATCGTCGATTTGTAGGCCCTGCAAAGTCGTTTCGTCTCCAAGTTGTGTGCCGAATAATAACTGCGTGAAGAAAAATAACTGTGAAGAAGACTGCAATAAGTTATATTGTTTTGAGGCAAGTTTCTAAAATATGAATTAAAGCTCTTTGATTAATAAATGAAAATTACTTGTAGAAAATCCAAACAAAACCTATCCGGTCCTGCAGTTGTATACCGAGTAAACGTGAAGAAAAAAATGAGTACTGTTTTTTGTTTCCATTGCCTAGAGAAGTAGCCAATTATTATAATAGAGCTCACATGAAAAAACAAAAGTGCTTGTAAGAAATTACATTTTTTTAAATGCGTTTGAATTAAAATGAGAGCCAACTATTACTATGACACATTCTCTTGTTTGATAGAGTATAGGCTTGGTGCATTTCAGTTGATTTAAAAAATACCGACCGCAGCGCTCGATACGGCCGAACTGCCGAAAAGTATTTTTACTCAATCCTGTTACCGTTCTTGTCGATCGCATTGGAATAGTATTAAAATCGTGACTTTGTGATACTATTTAAGTATTTTAGTTTTAATAGTGCAATTATTGAAACTATAAAACACTCAGGTATGAGGTTATTTGTGTGACGTAACATTGTTTTGGGTAGTAAAAATTAAGTGAAAAAAAACCCGAACTGGGCTTCTGTGTTTGGTTTGGTTTGGTTTGGTTTGGGTTGTAAAAAAGTGCCCATTACATATCAAACAATTAAATAGGCATAGGCATATATACTATGAGAAGATAAAATATAGTTTGCAATATTAATGGTATACTACTTTTAAATTGACTAGTGCTGAAATTTTATCTTCTAAAATTTTATTTATGTACATTTAAACTTGCCTTTAAACAAATTCATTCAAAATTCCCAAATAGCAAAATCGGTGCGTAACGTATAAAACTATGCTCGCTACCGTAGTTGAACTCAACTAAAACGTTTTATTAGCTTGAATAATAAATTATAATACACAGGGGCGGATACAGGATTTTATTTTAGGGGGGGCCCAAAATAAAAATTAATGTAGAATATGCTTTTTAGGGCGCCATTTTTTACCCAAAAGCCTAATATTTAACACAATTTACAGGTTATAGGGGGGGCCCGGGCCCCATGGCCCCCCCTATGTATCCGCCACTGATAATACAAATTAGACCTTCTGAAGATATCAAAATATTTACTCTTTTATTTTTATTTTTAGAATTTTAACAAATTATACTTCCTAACAGTTTTAGAATAATTATATAAGAAATTTTTTGTGTATTCGCTTTTTAAACCCGTGTATTTGTTTAGTCCGCTGTTCAGTATTTCAGTATTTTTTAGTTCACAGTATTCTCCCATTATTCTCCGATGGTGACAGCACCAATGGAGAATGGCACCGAGCCTTTACCTCTATACGGGGTGAGTCTAAAATAAGTGCAAATATTTTCAGGGCTGGTAGATCTCCATAAAAGAAACATATTTGGCTCAACTTTCGTTTAGCTGAAATCTGTTATATAAAAAACGACTTTATACCGGGTGCGTCTCAAAAGTGGCTCACCCCCTATAACTTTTTTATTTTTTCTGATAAAAAACGGGGTTTGGTATGTTAGTATATGACATAAATTAGGATTGATTGGTGTATTCAATTGTTTTTGGTCACTTCCTGTTTCACCGGAAATGACTACAACTTTTGATTTTTAAATGGCACCCTCGGTATTTTTTTACTTTATTCAATAGAAAATAACATTCTGAATAGAATGACATATCATATGTTAACTTTTGACATTCTCGCTTAATAAAAAAAATTATTTTAAAATTTAATCTAGACTGCCATGGTTATGTTAAAAACACTAATTCTTCATCAAGGAGCCTTGGAAAAATAGATTTGATCGTCTAATGTTTTTAGTGGCTTGTCGTGGCCAGTTAGAAAATTCTCAAATCGTATTTTTAATCAGAACTCAATTTTTTCAAATGGAACGAGGGTGGCTCATTAGCATATTTGGAAAAAGCATTTTTTTACGAATAATTTGATACCACACATTTGGTATTTCAAGTCAAATTTGCGTTACGAACCGCAAGTTATAATTTCAAATAAACCATATGCGAAAATGTCAAAAGTTGACATATGATGTGTCATTCTATTCAGAGTGACATTTTCTATCGAATAAAGTATTTTAAGTATTTTACTCAATAAGAAAAAAAGTACCGGGGTGCCATTTAAAAATCAAAAGTTGTAGTAATTTCCGGTGAAACCGGAAGTGACCAAAAACAATTGAATACGTTAGTCAATCCTAATTTATGTCATATACTAACATACCAAATTTGGTTTTTATAACTAAAAAAATAAGAAAGTTATAGGGGTGAGCCACTTTTGAGACGTACCCGGTATTTGCATTCTAGAAGGCGTTAGGAGTACAAATATACAAAAATTTTCCTGCGGAAAAGCGCCATTTTCACTTTTCGGACTTTAGTATAGCCGAAATCTGTTACAACATCAAAACTAGTCTTCGGGGTGTGTTTTAGACATTTTTCTAAACATAAAAACACAAAAAAGTGTCTGCGGAAATTTTTTATTTCTATTTTACATAAAAAAATGCTTTGACTTTAGAATAGCCGAAAGCAGTTACATGAAAAATGAACTTATATTTATTTTATACGAGCCTTTACCAGCAAAGAAATACAAAAAAATTCCTGCGGAAATGTGTCAATGTCATTTGGTGCACTTTGTTTTTCATACATTTTTCAGTTTAGAAGCTTACGGGACCCGCATGGGACCCGGGAGCGAATAGGGGTGCTGGGTGGGGTAAAACATCTTTCGGAGGAATAACAATTCTTGTAGAATAGATAATATAGGTTCTTGTAAACTATAAGTACCTCGGAACTCGGAATGTTGCACTTATTCTTGTTTTTTTATTAAAGCTTTACGTAAATAGGGCTGACTCAATACAAAAAATCATTGAATCATGCAGTTTTCTTTTATATTTTAATAATTAACTGTGACTTTGCAAAAATATTAGATTGGTTAGCATTTGGGTTGCTTTAGTTAGCTTTTCTTTGTGGAGGGTGTTAAGCTGTGGTTTTTATATTTTAATAGTTAACTGTGATTTTGCAAAAATATTATTATATTGGTTAGGAGTTGGGTTGCTTTGGTTAGCTTTTCTTTGTGGAAGGTGTTAAGCTGTGGTTTCTATATTTTAATAATTAACTGTGATTTTGTAAAAATATTATTAGATTGGTTAACATTTTAGACACTTTTAAATTATTTTTTTTTGGTTCAAAAGTGATAAAAAGATAATTTTTTATGTATTTATGCTTACAAATATGGAAAATGAAAATCAAGCATTTCCGCAGGAAATTTTTTATTTTCCTGAGTTTGTAAACGCTTCTAAAAGGCAAAAATATATTTATTTTTTATATAAACTGACTTCAGCTATTCTAGAGTCTAATAAATTTCCTCAGAAAATGGATACAGTTTATTTCCGCAGGAAAATTTTTATTTTCCTCAATTCGTGAATGCTTCTAAAACGCAAAAATATATTTATTTTTTATATAACTGATTTCAGCTATTCTAAAGTCTAATAAATTTCCTTATAATAGTATTTCTGGAGTCGAAATATATTATTACCCCTAAAAATATTTGCACTTATTTAAGACTCACCCTGTATCTATTATTATTATGCAATATTTTTCTATAGAAATAAAATATTAAAAAACAGTTATTTTTGGTTAAACTCTAATCGTAATAATGGTAACTACCTTTAAAATATTTCATTCATTTTATAATGAACCAGAATTAATAAAAACTGTCTTAATATTAATTGTTACGCTAATATAATTAAAGAAAATCGAGCTGCTGTCCACCGCCGGAACGATGTAGTTCCTGTTGCAAAAAGCCTTGTTGCTGCCCTATACAGATCCGAACTTTGCCACCAAATCCATGTTGTTGTAGGTCTTGTTCGCCTCCCCCTTGCAAGTAAGCATTTTTTTATTCACATCGTTATTTTAATTTGTTATAAATTTTGTAAACAATTAATAAGTGATACCATATAAGATCGAAAAAAACGACGTCAAAGACGGTTGGAGAATGACATTCGATGGTAATTTTGGCGAGGTCAAGCCCTAAACGTCTATTACCTGGCCCGTACTCTTCTTTATTTTTAATGGCGCTTACTGCCAGTTGTATTTTATTTTTATATCGAGTAAAAAAATATTTTTAAATGGTGTAGTTTAAAATTCGAGAAACCATATTATTTTGGATATAGATTTGTGTATCTGGAAACGTTCTCTTTTTTTTCTCTGAGTTTTATGTCAATTTTTAGTAAGTGATGTCTAGAGATTGACCTGGCCAAAATTATCGTCGATTTTCATTCCCCAGCCGTGTTGACACCCTTTTTTTCGATTATACGGTACTATTTCTTAATAATGTAATACTATTTTTTATCTGTGTTGTTTTAGGCCTTGTTCACCTCCATTATGCAAGTGAGTACTGGCTATATTTTTTCTATAAAAATTCACAATGTCATGTCAATCTCAGTAATAATTTAAATTTTCTAAAATTTTCATTATTTTTATTAAATTTTCGGTATTTGTGTTTTAGGTCTTGTCCACCTACCACATGCAGGTGAGTATTTCTTTCTATTTGGCTTAGTAAATTATTATCCGCTTTTAAACGATTTTTCGTCAACTCGAGAAGTTGTTTAATTAAGAGTCTATTACGGCTGTACTGTTCGGGTAGGGTAGGGGTCGGGTAAAGCGGGTGTGTGGCCAAAGGAAATATAATATATTATATTTCAGAAATCTGCCTAAGGCTTAGCCCGATCCTGTCGTGTTTAGCCAGATACAAAGTTCCAAACAAACGTGCTTTGATTATAGTACGAGAGCTAGCAACGTCGGAAAAACAAGTATTTTAAGACGTCTGGCTCTTTGATATATCTTTTACTATGCTCTCTAGAACAGCATGCGGCCCGTCTGGCTGCCGGTAAACGTTGCGTTCCCTAATGCGCATTGAAAGAAGATCCTATATTTTTATTAGTCCTTTAAATTCTAGTATTGAATATAAATTGAAGAGCGGCGTGCGGTCCATGGAAGCGGGGGAAGCACCGCTTCCCTAAACTTTTTAAAGATAAAAAAATAAATAGTTAAACGTTAATAGTACTGTTATTTTATAACAAAAGATTAATTTAATTTGTTAAAATTATTTATTTGAAACCTTGCATAAACGTATCTAGTAAATTTAATTAGCCTTTTACTGCATGGATGCGCGCCTGGGATTCGCCGCCGGTCGCCTATCCCTCCTTCATGTAGGTGTTATTGACCTCGAACGCAAACGACAAATTTAAGCCGGAAAATCGTGCACAGTTGCTAGCCACGGCAGCGATCTTTCGGCCGCCTTCCTCCACTTTTAATTTATCGGGACGGGTTCGCTTGCAATTTTATAGGTAATATTATAATAAATTAAATCCAAAATTTTATGATGATGTTATAGACAAATTTGCAATGGCTGACAGACGAATAGAACTCAAATACAAATAGGTGCTTATCGCGCGTCAAGTGCTGCGGAAAATTAATTTAAAATATCGTTTTTTAATTATTATAACTTTATGTGTTTTTGTTTGTTTAAAAATTTTCGATGGAATTTTAATCGAACAATGGAATTGGCCTCGGAATTTTCAAAGGTAAGTTTTTTAAGAAAATGTAAAAGTAATGTCTCGAAATAGGGGTTTTTTCCTATTCGCTTCCCCGCCTATAATTGTCACCGCACGCCGCTGAAATCGAACATGTCTCCATAGCGCAGTGCATAGAGATTCCGACTACGAACCTTCCGAACCAATGATTCAGAGTTCGAATCCGGGTCAGGGCAGGGCAAAGACTTTTTTATTTTATTTTCGGTTATATTCTGATAGTAAAGTATTAAATATTTGTTTTTTTTTTAATCACCAGAACCAGAATTATTTAATACTTTACTATCAGAATATAAACGAAAATAAAATAAAAAGTTTTTGCCGTGACCCGGATTCGAACTCTGAATCATCGGTTCGTAGTTGGAAACTCCACGCACTGCGCTATGGAGACATGTTCGATTTATATTCAATACTAGAATTTATAGGATCAAATTAAAGTAAAATATAGGATCTTCTTCCAATGCGCAGTAGTGAACGCAAGAGGTATCGGCAGCCAGACGGCATGCTGTTCCAGAGAGCGTAGTAAAAGATATATCAAAGAGCCAGACGTCTTAAAATACTTTCTCGAAAACGTTACTAGCTCTTAGACTATTAAGTCTTCATTAAGGTTTGCAGAGCTTCAGTATTTGCCATAAAATAGTGAGCAATTTGTTACAAAACCATATAAATTATATATCACTGTAATCACAAAACTTCAATCTATTTCTGTATTGTAACGGAATTTTAAATGATCTCTCTTTATTTTCGAGAAAATTTAGTCCAAACATAAGGAATTTTTTGTTGATGTTTGACCATCAAAACCTTATATATAAAGAAGTTATATCTAAAAATGTGCTACAATACGGATATACAATCATTTATCTTTAATTTCCGTTCTTCATTTGTATAAAAATACCTAGCCAGTTTTACATATAACGTTAAATGCCAAACGCTTATTTAGCTACTTTTTCGGACTAATGAAATGGACTCTTAAGTATTTGTTAAAATTCTGACTATAGGCTATTATTGGAAGATGCTTTTTTAGGTATGTGTAGTGTAATTTTATTATAAATATCCAATTTTTGGAATATCTATTTAAATTTCCGTTCAAAAAGTATAAAATGTTCGGAGAATAATTATTCCGAATTTATACTTGGCTCTGTAGAATCGACCCTTGAAGCTTCATTCAGAACCTCGCAATTAGTGGAATAAATTAGTGGTTTCAATTACACTTAATACTTTTTAATTTGCGATCATTCACAGTGTTTAAAAAAACACAATTAAAATTAATAAAATATTCTAGCAACAGATTTCGTTAGACAGTTGTTTGTAAAAGAACTGTATAACAAAACCGAACTTTTGATTTCTAACCACAATGTCTCTTGGCGAAAGATAAATAATCAAAGGCCAAAATGACATTTCTCGCAAATTTTGAAATATAATTAGTGGAAAAGTTAAAAGTTTGATAACTTTTTCGACTAATTGAAAATGTCTATAGTAAACGCCACGAATGTTTGGGAGCGATTCATCGGTCGCTACCTTTGAATAAGAAGACTAAGGAAGGAGCATAATGCTATCCATGTATTCATGCATGGTGGGCGGAAAAGCCACCATAAAAGCTCTCTAGGGTGGGGATCCTTGACAGTTCTGTTTGACGATTCATTTGACACATTTGAATTTGATTTGAAATTTTGTGGATTTGTCAGTCTTTACGGAGCTTATTTTATGTTATTTATTATTTATTCTACTACTGATAGTTGTATAAAGGTAGTAAATCTAGATGGAAATTGTGGCAGAACTTAAATTAACAGTGACACTATCGCGATTTATCGAAAAAGACTCTAAAATAGTTGGTTGTGTAGCGTGCGGTAAAATCTCGGCAAAAACTGAGTGAAATAATGGAACAACTTTTCGCTAGTAAGTGACTATATAATATACTTACGTGTAGTAAACCGATCATTTATGAAATTCACTTAAATTAACTAAATTATATATTTTTCTTGCATTTTAGCTTTTATTTATTACTGTCAAAGATTAGATGTCAAAGAATTTAGATACGTTAATTTGACTTACCTGCTTCAGTAGCGTATCGGATGTTTGTGTTAATAAATACTTATTATAACTTATCTATTTTTATTAGAATTATATATTTTTATAACAATTTTAATAACTACCAACATTTATTCACAACGTAAAATAAAAAAAAAATTATTGAGTCTACCCCACGTCTACCCTACATCATAGTTTTACATTTTTTAAATAAAATTAGAACGACACTGATAAACCGGAATTTAAGTCGGCCATATTTGAGGCCCATCGCGGTGTACCTAAGATTTTTGATATGCTCCTTCCTTAGTCTTCTTATTCAAAGGTCGCTACCATGTGAACTAATCTGTTCAAGGTCACATAAAACTTAATTCCAGTGCCGTGGTGTTTCAAGTCATATAATAATCAATATATAATCTGTTGTAATTTGTTGTTTTAACTGTCAAAGTCTTGTCAAATTATATATTTGGTTATAAATATAAAATGGAATGCCCCATTGGTCGCACTGCAAGCACACCAATGGACTGACGCACAAAAACGAATCAATCAAAGAAACACGATATAGTATCGTCTTTGTCAATCACGCTAACATTTTAGAATAAGTTGGAGGAGCGCTGGCAGATGATTAGACCGGGCCTTTAAAAACTTACGTCTGCGGTAAAAATTTACGTTTTTAATGTAAAAAAGATAGCGCGCCTGTCGATTCTAACTTCATCAAGCGATGAATCACTCCCAAACATTCGTGGCGTTTACTCTACCACTAATTTTTACGTTCTGAATGCTTACATTGAAATTAGAGGAACAAACTTGCGAGATTCTGAATAAGGTTCTAATTTAAGCCATAAAATATTTAAGCTTCATTCAGAACCTCGCAATTAGTGGAATAAATTAGTGGTTTCAATTAGCGTAGAAGTTTGTTAATTTCAATGTAATCATTCAGAACGTCAAAATTAGTTGTAGTAGGTAATAATCAATTAGTAGAAAAAGTTAACAAACTTTTATCTTTTACCACTATAGACCAGTCGACAAGTGGTTTTAGGTGGAAATAATTAGGGGCAAGCTGCAATAACACTTATTCTCTTTGTTTTGCCTTGTTGAATACTCTACTAAATTTGCACGGTCTATCGATACCGGATTTGGCCGCCATATTGGAAAATCCTGTCAAATTATGACATTTTTATATATATTTTTTTTAAATATCTCGGTTTGAGTGCACTCTACAGAAAATTTGAAAGAGACCAAAATAGCTTTCTTTTTGGTCTCTTTCAAATTTTCTGTACAGTGCACCCAAACCGAGATATTTAAAAAAATATATAAAAATGTCAAAAAGAAAGCTGTTTAAATTCTTTACAAAAAAGGTCCTATTCACTGATTTCGTGCATGAACAGGTTAACGAGATACAGATGCTTAAATACAAAGCATATATTTTCTAGTGGTTCATGAGAAACTGATTCTATGTAAATTTGAATAATTTGCCAGTACAAATTTATGTTCTTGTGCTCATTTCCACACTACCTGGCGATAGAGCACTCGGCGCACTTTTTTTAAGTGGTTTTAGGCCTAATCCTAATCTTTGTGTCTTACTTCGGAATAGTATAATCCTTGATTATGTATAAATAGATGTACAATGAGGGCTTAGTACAAGCCCGTCTTCTAGGTGGCGCCTTGCCCGTTCTGAATTTTTGTATTCCCCTACGATTTTCTTTGAGGGGAATCCGTTAAACCCGCCCATCGTTCAAAAATGGAAGGGCGCGAGGTCACATCTATTGGGCCACTTATTAGCACGTTTCACCCATGTTTTACGAAAATAGCTTTATCCTTGTTTGTTTCAACTGTGACAAGAAAAAAGGAAAAAAAGTTATATTCGCTTCTAAATTCGGCAGTTTTGTTGATCTTTCTCGACTTGTAATTTCGTTTCGTTTAGGTTATGTCTTATAAAAATAAATATTTATAAGCTTTTGAATTGAAATATACCTTAATGCATATCTGAGTAATTAAAAAATTCAGTTTTTTCGTCCCTCGCGAAGAAACATAAACAGTATTTGTGAAATTTGGATTAGAAACTATTATTTTATTAGTTTATTTTGTTGTGTTTAAGTGTTGTGTATTTGTACCTACTGGATAATATTTTCCAACATATTTAATTAAGCAAAAAGCATCTGTTTTACAGGTAAGTAAATACTGTTCATATTTATTTCTAAATTCATATAAATTTGTTTTAAATCACTCTTGGGAAAAATGTTATAGAGTCTGAGATAAGTTTAATAATAAACATTTGATAGATTGATAGATAGATTAAACGATAATGCCCAGTTTGCTTAAAAGTTTAAAAAAATACTGATTTTATGCTATAAATTGTTTCATTTCTCACTTTGCTTTTTTGGAATTGTCAGATATATTGTGTATTTTATAATTTTTCCGAGAATTTTTCTTAATAACTTGATAACGTAAAATATTTTTTATCTACAGTCAACCCTGTGTTTAGATAAAGCTTCATATCAGATTTCCTATTTTATATTTTCACTCAAATCATATTTTTTGTAAAATATGCTTGCAAAAGTAGCGTAAATTTGACAGGGAGGTATTTTTATAGATATACAGGATGATTCAAATATATATTTACTTTTAAAGTTATTAGTTATGAGCAAAGGTTATGAGTTTGTGAAAAGAAAGGCTATATTTTGTATTTTTGCTTGGTGGATTTGTTATTAAATTGTCATTCCAAAAAATACCATAATGTCGTAGTCGTATAGAGTTCATTTTGACCAAAGAATATATTTTGACCCTTTTTGGATTGAATTTTATTGTTTATATAATAAAATATATATTTAAAGCCCTCTCTTTCTAAGTTAAGTTAAAAATAGGTAATATCGACGTTTTTTACTGGAACTAATTTAAGTTAATAATTAATAATTATATAATTCATATAATAATATTAAAATAGACTAAATTGTTTATTATATACAGGATGAGTCAAAACTAGATATTATATTTTTCTTTGCTATTTCAAATGAAACACTGTATTTTATATCATAAATCAACAAAGCTTTTATGCAACTTTTGTTTTATTAAGATCTATATCCCAAATTAATAGTTATTAAATTGTTTTCAATTGTCTCTTTGCGAATAAACATGATTTGTTTTACGCAATTTTTATTAGTAGGTTTGTCGTCAAAAGTGATGTATCTATTTATCAGCGACAAAAATTAAGAATTAGATGTCTAAAATAATTTCCTAATTATTTTTTTACTTGGCATCAGTAAATATGATTTATTTTATCGATGCAGCTGAAAATAATTATCTATTCTAAAAGAGGACATTGCTGTATAAACATCGATTATGGATTTAAAAATTATTTTTCAAAACAAAGTTGGACAAAATTTTTGGAGAAAAAATTGGACTTCTGTTCGAAATAATTGAGAAAAACCCAACATCTAGTTTTGACGCCCCCAGTATATATCGTGCATTATAGTTGATTATACTGCAATTTATTATACACACGTAGTTTTGTTTGGTGAAAATGAAACTTTCTAAAAGTATTCCCAATTAAAACATATTAAGAATTTCCTACATTATAATTTTGAAAGACGTTTGAGTGGGCAGACAATTTGGTCTAAAATAATCATATGTCTAAAAAAATTAGTCTAAAATAATCAAAAACCACTTAACACATATAACTCGCTTTTAAAAATCTAAAAGAAATAAGTTTGTTTATTATATTCATATTTTATTAAATTATTATAGGTGTGACTGCTAAGTGGTCGTACTCGCCACTTTAACCAAGCATTGGTGGGACCTTCAGAGATCATAATGCGAATTTCTTCATACCATGTAAATCTATATACATGTATTAATAAATGCGTTTGCTTTATTAAATTTTTTTTCTTATACGGTATGAGCGAAAAAAAACGGCGTCTATTTGTTTACGTACAAATGACATCGATATTCATTTCCAAACCACCTCTGAGGCCGTTTTTTTTTATCGTATGGTATATATTTACATATCCCTTATCCTTTAATTCCGATTTATTTCTAATAATTATAAAAATAAGATACCTGATTAATTCTTCCGAAATATTATAAAATGAGATATCACGAAAGAAATAAAGTTAATTATCTCGTTTGTTTTGGGAATTCCAAAAAAATAAAAAAAAGGGTATAGAGAATCTTTAGAGACACAGTTCAAATGTTATTTTTGAGTATACTGGTTGCTTCAAAAAATGTGGCGGATACATGTTTTTTAATGCAAAACTCCATTTTTATTTTATTTTCGATTCTGCCTAAAATTCTATAACTTTTTTTTATAAATAACGTTAGTAAGTATTTACAATTTAAAAAAAAAGTAAAATTTTATTCCTATGTTACTTAACTGTCAGTTGTTTCCGAAGTTGGACTACACAAATTTGGTAGGAGTGTTTTACAGAGATGAAAAAAAAATATATTTATATGTAAAAATACTTGCAGTTAGATGCTACACTGTGTTCAAACATTTTTTTTGGCTGATCCGATATATATATTATTATTTTTTCTAGTGATTTTACAAAACCTTTCAACATTTGTTAAGAAAGTATATTAAGTACACCTATACTCAACAGCTTGCAATCTGTTCTGAATTTTATCCTTCTTTTAATTCATTTACATTATAACAAGTTGCCATATGACAAAACAAAAATTATTTATTATTAAACATTAAGTAAAGTGATTTATTTAGTTATATGACATTCTTAATAGAAGTTGAAGGATTTTGTAAAATCTATCAGAAAGAATTATAATATATCGGGTGTTTTTCAAAAGTAGCTTGATTGATGTATTCAATTAGTTTCGGTCATTTCTTGTTTCACCGGAAATGACTACAACTTTTGGTTTTTAAATGGTACCGTCGGTATTTTTTTACTTTATTTTGCAGAATATGGCATTCTCAATAGAATAATTCAATGTCAACTTTTGACTCTTTTACTTAAAAAATAGTATTTTAAAGTTCAATCTAGTAGAGTGCCATGATAATAAACAACATGTAACCGGTCGTAAAGATAACGACAGTTTGACTCGACATACGGAGTGTGTGGTACCAAATTATTTACCAAAATTAGGTACCAAAATTTATTAGGTATCAAAAAATGCTTTTCCAAATATGCTAATGAGCCACTCTCGTTTCATTAAAAAAAATTGAGTTATGATTAAAATACGAAATGGGCATATTTCAACTGACCAGGAAAAGACACAAAAAATATTAGACGACCAAATCAATTTTTCCAAAGCTCCTTGATTAATCCTTGATTAAAAAATAATGGTTTTAACACAGCCATGACACTAGATTGAATTTTAAAATGCTATTTTTGATTTAATTGAAAATGTCAAAAGTTGACATATGATTGTTGATGTCAAAAGTTGTCATTCTATTCAGAATGTCATTTTCTATCAAATAAAGTACCGTATGATCGAATAAAAACGGCGTCAGCAATGGCTATGAAATGAAAAGCGCTGTCATTTTATATGTAAATTTATATGAGAAATGTCATCGATGTTCATTTCATAGCCATCGCTGACGCCGTTTTTATTCGATCTTACGGTATAAAAAATACCGAGGGTACCATTTAAAAATCAAATGTATACATTTCCGGTGAAACAGGAAGTGACCGAAACTAACTGAATACGAATCAATCTCGATTTATGTCATATACCTACTAACATTCCCAATTTAGTTTTTTTCTCGGAATCTGAAAAAATAAAAAAGTTATAGAGGTGAACCACTTTAAAAAAAAACACTCAGTATAGGCTGTGTCATTGAAAGAGTCTGCAGATATTTTTTTAATTTTAAATACGTAGAATTAACCATTAATATATGTTGAACACCCTGTAGCATCTGCCTTAAATATCTACATAGTATCTAATATTTTTTCTTCATCAACAAATTGAAATATTAGAAAACTAGTTTTAGGTTACACCATTATACAAGGATTATACATAAAAAAGTAATAATTTTACGCAGGATCTAAAATAAAATAGGATGTTACATTTAAAAAAAACATTATGTTAAATCCGTCATACTTTTTACAAAGTTACAGAGGTAGGTAGGTATAGTTTCATATATTTTTTTAATTATCCATCTAGAAATAAAATATATACATATATACCTAATATAATAATTTAGTATTTAACAAGGGGCCATGAAAATCAAAATAAATATAAATCCATATCCAAAATAAAAATGTAAATAACGCTTTGAGGTAAAAAATTAGGTTCAAAGCAGATAAGATATTTTATTCTTTACCGAGAATTAAATTCGAAGAATTCCTAGTCCCTACTTCTTTGCCAAATTCAATAGTCTCCGCCCCTTTTTACGTTTTAATTTCTGCCACCAGTTGGCAGCATCGACTTATACAGGCACATTGACTAACTATTAATATATAAACAAGGGTATAATGAAACACTAAAACTAAAAGTCGCCCGAACTGGTCTCGCGCTGTTGTCGAATAGATCAAGTATCAAATTTAACTCTAGCGCACATTAAGATATATTTAAAAAAAATTAGCGCCGGGAGGCACGTATAGCCGCCCATACTAAAATATGTTAATAAAAAGTTCTTTTAGTTTCAAAGTAAAGGAATTTTTCCAATTTTTTTTTATCTCAAAAACTGCGACTTTGACTGATTTTGATGTTATTACAAATTTTGTTGCAAATATTATTCCTAATCTTAAATTGAAAACCGCGTTTCGGTAGCTACTGTAATTTTAGAGTTACGATTTTTTAAAATTTTTAACCCCCTCCCATACCTCCTTACCAACCCTCCACCCCCACCAAAAACTAATGGCCAGATTCTCAGGTGCCACAGTATGTTTGTGCCAAATTTGGTTAAAATCGGTTTAGCGGTTTTTGAGTTATCGTGTTACAGACAGACAGACAGACACCATGAAAATATTTTGTATTTAGATCATTTATGACCCAAATAACTCATTTTGAGTGAAATTAAAAAAACTTTTTTTTTGCCGATGGTATGGTCGGCTAATAGATGTTAATTGCTATAACTTTAGAACTGATAAGTTTACGAGAATAATCAGTAGAACCTTTTTTGTAGAGAATTTAATTTTCTTTATTTTTGGTTACCTACATTTTTTTTTACAATGTACCCAGACCGAGACATTTTAAAAAATCCATAAAAATGTAGTTTTTATTTCGACTTTTTCAAAATGGCGGCCAAATCCGGGATCGACAGACCGTGCAAATTGAATATATCATTCAGCACATCACAACAAAGAAAATAAAAAATAATCCAGCTTGCCCCTAATTATTTCCACATAGGCGTATTTAAAATGACCGACGTACCGACTGGCCAAGTAATTATACTTTAAAATTTGCGACTAATGTTATTTTAGCCTTTGATTATCATTTATCATATTTATCATCCGTCAAGACAAAATGTGATTAGAAATCAAAAGTTTATTGTTTTATAAGCTAAATATTCGGCTTTCTCTATGGATACAACTTATTACCGCAAGCTGGTGCTAGGATATTATATTAATTTTAATTGTGTTTTTTTAGACATTGTGAATGATCGTAAACTGAAAAGCATAAAGTGTAATTGAAACCATTAATTTATTCCACTAATTCCGAGGTTCTGAATTAAGCTTAAAGCTGTATTCTGCTGAAATAAATTTTAAAATTAGGTGCTGTTGTCCCAGAGAGATATGCCCTTCATCAGAATCGTCGAATTGTTGTTGTCCATCCCCAGATCCATGTTGCGCACCTAAAAGGTAAGATTAACAGTCTTTTTAATGACGTTTCAATTTATGTTTTAATTTTATATCACTTATTTTATTCACAATAATAAGTAGGTACATTGTAGAAATAAGCCAGATAGTTATTTCCCATTCACACTTTAAGGTATAACCTGTGAACGTGATTTTTTAATAATTGTGATTTAAACCTCTCTTTCTAATTTTACAATTCGATAACATTAATAAACCCGAGAGTTGCGGCAGTTTCACATAGCAGTTTTCTGCTATAGCAATTGAATTTTGGAGTTGGAATTAGGCAAATGCGATAGTTTTTACTGCGACTCTCTGTTTCACAAGATAATCATTGATTTCGTTTTTTTTTGTTTTATATAGCGCCGAATAGAAAAACAGTGGTTAGTTATGCAATACTTTGTTTGTTATTCAAAAAAAAAATATTATTGATGAAAAAGCTAGTGTTAAAACGAAAATACAGCAAAAAAATACTGGGTAAAAATGCCTTTATTAATCCAAAAAAATCCTTTATGGGTATTTCGCCACTGCACTGCAAGAAAAATCTACAAAATAAAATATCATATATTAATAATATTAATATTTATATATTATATATAATAAAGTTTATATGTTAGGGCAAAAATAATATGTACAGACAACATTTCACTAAACAGAGATATTAACCACATAAAAAATACATTAATAAAAAACGACTATCCACCATATTTTATTGACAAAACATTAAACGAAATACAAACCCCAAATCATAGACACAGTGATAACAATACACAATATATACAACTTACAATTCCATACATACGAGGCGTTTTGGAAAAAATAAGGATAGGAAAACAATATAACATACGAACATCTTGCAAAACACAAAATACACTTAGATCCATTTTATCACATACTAAACCAATAAATACAGAACAACAAACAAAAAATGTAATATACCAAATACCCTGTAAATGCGATAAATTTTACATTGGTGAAACATCTAGACCCTTAAATGTTAGAATTAAAGAACATAAAGATTATTTAAGAAAGGGAGATTTTCACAAATCTAAGATTTGTCAGCATTCATGGGACACAGCTCACAGAATAAATTTTAATAACGCCAAAATTATAATGAAAGAAGCGATAGCCTCTAAAAGAAAAATAAAAGAGGCTTTTTTAATTCAATCTAATAAAAATAAGTGTTTTGCTCATGCATCTGTAGATGTTAGTAATGTATGGCAATCGCTTAGGAGGAACTCAAGAACTTGGAAGATTCCATCCGCAACCTGGAATGGAAATCTTGCAATGGTCTAAGACACTCGAAGAAGTTTCTGAGGGCTTATGATCAAGAAAAATCACAGATCTTCCTGGGTCTGAGTAAGAACAATCTTCGGATTGTCACGGGGTTTTTAAAAGGACACTGTCTCCTCAATGAACACCTGAGTAGATTGAAACTAAGAAGAAACGGCGAATGCAGATTCTGTGGGGAAGATGGTGAAACACCAGTACACCTCATCACTGAGTGCGCCGAGACGACAACCATTCGTGCCATGAACTTTGGTACGACTGATATTGGAGATGGAGAACTACCCTCTATAAAACCGTCCCAGATACTGGCTTTTGTCAAAGCCCTGGGACTGTATGATGAGTTATGATTCAAGAAAGGGGGACACAATGGTAGTAATTGTTAATTTTGAAGTTTAACTTAATATAATGTCATTTTAACAGAACGTCAACGATTTCTTGTAGACGTATCTATTTTAAAAAGTAAAGTGTCCTCGAATAGTTCAATTTAAATATTTTAAATAGTTTTTTTCTTGATTCTTTATATTTTTTTGCTTCCGACGACGGAAAGAGAAAACTTTCCGAAACGTTAAGAATTTTTTTCTTTGTTAGGCAAATGTTTATTACTGTAAACACAACTTCTGACAAGCAGCGTCCGTTTAGGTTTAACGCCAGAAGTGTTTACAAAAAATAACTATTTTATTTTGTAGATTTTTCTTGCAGTGCAGTGGCGAAATACCCATAAAGGATTTTTTTGGATAGATGAATCCGCCACATAGGTATAGACATTTTTTGCCTTTATTAAATAAGCCACGTTTTGACATGAAAAGTAAATTTTAAAAAGTGCATCTGCTGAAACCAAGGCACTGTTGGAGAGTACAGATCATCAGTGGGTGAACCTGTTTTCTGGCTATTCAGCACCTTCTTCTTTTCCATCAAATACGTGGCCTTAATGAACTTAACTTTTTTTTACTATATCTTGGGCTAATCCCATGTTCTCTGCTATTTTTAATAATGCAGCTTTTCTTTTTGTATTGTTTTTATAGTCCACTGACTTAATGTTCCATAAACATTCATTCTCTTCATACAATTCAATTAGTGTAAAAATTTGTTCATCCGAGAACGCAATGCGTTTTATATTTTTCGCCATTTTGTTTTCGTCGAGTATGCGACTGAGATAACAAAACTAGAAGATCTTCTACTCATCGCAATAGATTCTATAACAGATAACAGCGATCGCAATCGTATGATTCACAATTGGCGGTATAACCTTGGTATAACCACGCTTAACTAACAGTCGCTGCTATGACAGTTGACTGCCATGTGAAACAAAAACTATTAACGAAACTGTCATATTTCCGCATTTTCCTAGATGTCCAACTCCTTGTCGCCGTCGACCCTGTTCCCCCCGGCCCCGCCTGCCGCCCAGACCGGTATGTCGTCCGCCCTCGCCGCCGCAGCCGCCCTCTTGCTGTTGCGAGAAATGTCAGCCGCGGTGCTGCAGAACATGCGAGCCGCCCTGCTGCCCCAAGCCAAAGTACTGCACATGCGGTACTCCCAGGCCGTGCAACTGCAAAATGTCGCAAGTGAGGGCCCAGTGCACGGCGTACTGCGTACGATGTTGTCAAAAGGTAAAGTCAAGGGGTAAAGTATAGTTTATCCAACGACAAAATCCTTGACTGCGATAGATGGGTCTGTCATTTTAATTTCAGAATAGTATATTTTATTTCAAAAAGAAATATGTTTCAGGGGCAAAGCCCGTTTCAGAACCTAAAAACTAGTGGTGTCAGTTAAGCTTCATTCAGAATCTTGCAATTAGTGGAATAAATTAATAGTTTCGATTAGCGTAAGTTTGTTCCTTTAATTACAATGTAAGTATTCAGAACGTTAAAATTCGTGAGAGTCTTTTTCAATTAGTATGTAGAAAAAGTTAACAAACAATTTGGCTTTTGATTATCATCCGTCAAGAGAAATTGTGGTTAAAAATCAATAATTGATTGTTTTATAACTTAAATATTAAGTTCTCTCTATGGATACAACTGACTACTAAACTATTGCTATAATACTCTATTAATTTTAATTGTGTTTATTGGGCATTGTGAATGATCGTAAACTAAAAAGTATAAAATGTAATTATTGAAACCACTAATTTATTCCACTATGTGCGAGGTTCTGAATGAAGCTTTTACTTTATACTTAAGAATTTACGATCATTCACATAACGTCTAAAACACAATTAAAATTAATAGAATATCCTAGAAACAGCTTGCTCAGATGTATCCATAGTAGTTCAGTCATTGGGGATCAAAAAAGGAGCCTGCTTGGAAAAAAGTCCGGAAGTTTTGAAACTTTGCAGGTTTATAGGTTTTGGGGTCCCTAACTTAAAATCCATAAAATGCACATTTCCAGACTTGCAGCCGGCGCCGCCATCTTGCCAAGATGGCGCCCAAAATCGGTATTTTGTAAATATCTCGAAAACTATGCGTTTTTCGTAAAAATTTGAAGAGAGCAAAATTAAAGAGAATAAAATTTCCTATAAAAAAGGTTATATGAAAATTTTCGCTAAAGTCAACCGTTTAGGCGCAAAATCCCTGGAAATTTTACAATTTTACGTAAAGTATGATATACATATAGTCGATTTTCCAAAATCAAATGTCGATTAGTGTTCACTAAAACTAGTTTTAGTTTAGTTTCTTCAATTTTGTCATAAAACAGCGGCGTCTCATTAATTTGGTCATTAATTTATGAATAATTAATTGTCGTGCTGGACAGCATTCATTACGAACCAGGTTCAGCATTGGTCTGGTTGTACCAAAAATGCCGAAGAATGGGGTCGGAAGAAAACAAAAACAGTCATTACTCCAGTCACAACGTTGAAAGATCCAGCTCCAAAATCCCTATTAACATTTTTATCATGTAACTGCAAAACCAGCAACTATGGTAAAGCCTGCGGATGCAGAAAAGCAGGATTAAAATGTTCAATGATTTGTGCATACTGCAATGGGAAATCCTGTGACAACGTCACTGAAGTGTCACTCGACGAATCCGATGAAGAGGAGTTGGACTTGCCTGTAGATATCCCTCTGGCGGCTGAAGATGAAGAGTTGGACGTATTGAGAGACCACCCTGATGAGCCCAGCAGAACAGACACGATCGACTTTGACATCAATAAGCCAGATCCGTCGGGCTTGTGCAGATAAGTTAAAGTTTTGAATTTATCTAGTGGAGTAGGCCTCGGGGGAGACCACGTTAAAATAAAAGCGCCATGTACTTTACCTCTTGGGTGGTACGGAAGTTAAGTACACATTTTCAATGATTAAAATTAATTATTCATAAATTAATGAGCGAATTAATGATACGCCACTGTTTTATGACAAAATTGAAGAAACTAAACTAAAACTAGTTTTAGTGAACCCTAATCGACATTTGATTTCGGAAAATCGACTATACATATCATATTTTACGCAAAATTGTAAAATTTCCAGGGATTTTGTGCCTAAAAGGTTGACTTTAGCGAAAATTTTCATAAAATCCTTTTTATAGGAAATTTTATTCTCTTTAATTTTGAACTCCTCAAATTTTCGCGTAAAATGCATAGTTTTCGAGATATTCATAAAATACCGATTTTGGGCGCCATTTTGGCAAGATGGCGGCGCCGGCGGCAAGCCTGGAAATGTGCATTTTATGGATTTTAGTTAGGGACCCCAAAACCTATAAACCTGCAAAGTTGCAAAATTTCCGGACTTTTTTCCAAGCAAAAATCCCAATGACTGAACTATAGAGAGCACCTAATAATTACCTAGCTTATAAAACAATCAACTTTTAATTTCTAATCACAATTTCTCTTGGCAGATGATAATCAAAGGCTAAAATGACATTATTCGCAAATTTTGAAGTATAATCATTTGCAAAAGTAAAAAGTTTGTTAATATTTTCCACTAATTGAAAATTACTACCACTAATTATAACTTTATTTGAATGTTAGTTAGAAATTAGAAAAACAAACTTCTACGCTAAATGAAACCATTAATTTATTCCACTAACATCAGTATATTTTGTAAAAAAAATTGGAGTGAAAATTAAAAATAGGTTGCTTGATAGAGAGATTATTTGAAGCACTATTTCACCCTGTATATCGTCGCCATAATAAGAAAACTGCTTAAGTTCGAGAAAGTTTACAGGAAAGACGAAAAACCGTTTGTTTTTGACAAACAACAAATTGAAATTGAAGTCATTGCTATTGGGGCAAATTGAAATTAACGATCAAGTTGACAGCTAGGCAATTTTATCAGAAGGTGGTTTAAGCTTGATTTTCATGCGTCCGTTATCCGTTGATACGATGATCCGACGGTGCTCTGATTGGTCATAGCGTTTTCGCGCCACTTTTCATCCATATTTTTTACTCCAGCCCGTTAGCAGAGAAAGATCGTACGATAATGGACGGGGTTTTGACACTTTTTTGACAAATTTAATCTAACCTTATAATACAATCTACTGTACAGGGTGGCTCGAATTCGACGCTCATCATTGAGATGTCGGAAACCGTAAGAGATACAGGATCGGTTAAATGGAGGCAAAGTTGCGCAATTTGATGCTCAATATAATGCCGTATTGAATTTTTATTTTATATTTATTTTTTTTGCATAAATTATTCTGGTGATGGAATTTTCTGTACGAAACGTCGGCAAATATCAAAGTGACTAGAGTGATGAAAGGATTTAATTAAATAGTGTTTTAAGAGTGATGAAAGGATTTAATTAAATTGAAAAAAAAATCAGGTCCGTATTTAAAAAAATTAAGTTGATGATGGTCGCCAGAAGCCGAAACGTCAGAGTCACTATTTAAACACACAGAGTTATAGAGCAGAAAAAGTGGCTATAAAAATGTGTTTTTCATTTTAAGTTATCTTAACAAATAAAGCCAGGAAACAATAGGAAACAAAATTGAAAATTCCGTTTTTTTTTCGAATATATTCGGAAGTATTCGGAATTTTTCAAAATGCAATACGGCATTTTATTGAGCATCAAATTGTGCAACTTCCATTTAACCGCTCCTGTATCTCTTACGGTTTCCGAAATCCCAATGATGAGCGTCGAATTCGAGCCACCCTGTACAAGAGCTAGCACCGTCGGGAAAACGAGAATTTTAAGAAAGCTGGTTCTTTAATATATTTTTTGCTATGCTCTCCTGACCAAAGTGCGGGCCGTCTGGCTGCCGGTAGACTACTGCGTATCCCATCTGTACAGGGTATACCATTTTCGTTTATTTTATGGGATTTTTCGTTTATGAGTAGATACAATGATGCGATTTTCACATTACTTTGCTACCGTTTTATGAAACTAAAAATGCTACACATAGGTTTGTCGTAGCCTCCTTAGTTCCTGAAATACAGGGCGTATTTGTGATGCGCAGTAGTGAACAGATGTTGAATACAGCTATGATGCGCAGTAGTGAACGCAACGTTTACCGGCAACCAGTATTTATATTGCACTGTGCCCAGGAAAGCATAGCAAAAGCTATATTAAAGAACTAGCTTTCTTAAAATTCTCCTTTGAAAATGTTCATAGCTCTTAGACTATAAGTAAAACAGCAAAAGCGTTATGGAAATGAAAATATAAAATGACACCAATCACAAGCAAATAGTATATCCGATGAACAGAGGCATAAAAATGCAATAAATTTAAAAACTGCGTAATTTTCTAACCAATCGAAGTCTTTAAATTCAACCAATAAAATTAATATCGTATTGTTACGTTTTTCGTCGGTTCCGTGTGGATAAAAAGTCACAATTGATTTAAACACTATTTATTTAAGACTAATTAACAAAAACAATAACGATAAAAAAAAACTTAAAGAACTATTTACAAACGATTTATAACTAAGAATTTATTTTGAATTTTAGCGCGTCAACTGCACTGGTATATTTATAACTGCCCTCTCTAGGCCACTGCCGCCGGCTTTTATACCGACAGGTAAAAGAAATCTAGAATAGTCCAAAGATCGTTAGGCGCATAGAGAAGGTTTTCGAATGTTCTCGTATGTACTAGTCCATTCTAGTGGGTCTCGATTCTTCTCGAACGAATGAATCATTGCGGTGTCTATGCGATGTTAAGGTCATCCGAGGGCGGGCCATATTGTGAGGTTAGGTCGAGTCCACACCGGCTCGCAACAGTATCATCGTATCGGCGGACAAAGGGTGCATGAAAATCAAGCTTTAGACGTTATTCTAATCGGTGGCAGCAAAATTCCATTTTTGTTTTTTTTACGAATGGACATAGTCACTTTTCTTATTAAGGCGACGATATATTCCATTGGTTTATTATCGCAGGTATACGCTGCCGAAAAGATTCAAGCTTCATGCGGAGCGTACCACAGTAGTTGCTTCACATGCAGTTGCTGCAACAAATGTCTAGACGTAAAGAACTTCTACGAGGGCTGCGGAGAAATCTACTGCAAACGTAAGGAACTAACTGGATTTATTTTATAGTTAATAATGTTCCTTACTGGTCTATTTTTCTTTTACAGAATGTTACAACCATTTTTTCGGAATTAAATGCTATGGCTTCGGAAGACTTAGTTGCTAACAGAACATAATATCTAATAATCTATTCTCACATAAGCATAATAGGTATTTGTTTTAATAAAACCCATGTTTCTTTGTTATGTTTTATATTAGTATATTTGTATTAACGTGTGTGGTAAGTCAATTGGTTATTTTTTATAAAAATTTTGAAAAAATCAATTTTCACAAACAAAAATCCCTATGGGTATTCTCAAATTCTCTCCAATTCTCTTCAAAAAATCCAATATGGGTATTTCGCCACTACAAGAAAATCTATAAAATAAAATAGTTATTTTTTGTAAAGACTTCTGCGTTAACCCAAACGGAAACTACTTGCCAGAAGTTATAGGTTTACAGATATACAAATTTGCCTAACAAACAAAAAAATGCTTAACGTTTCGGAAAGTTTATCTCTTTAAAAAAAATACAAAGAATAAAGAAAAAAAACTATTTAAAATATTTAAATTCAACTATTCGAGAACACTTTAGTTTTTTTTTAAACTGATACGTCTACAAAAACCGTTGACGTTCTGTTAAAATATGTAAACCTAACTTCTGACATTTTTTGAGAATTATATTCATTACACTATTAAAACTTACCTACTCTACAGTATATCCCCGAATTGCCAATAACTGCAAACAAGACTGCCTTAATAGTTCAGTCATTGGGGATTTTTGCTTGGAAAAAAGTCCGGAAGTTTTGCAACTTTGCAGGTTTATAGGTTTTGGGGTCCCTAACTAAAATCCATAAAATGCACATTCCCAGACTTGCCGCCGGCGCCGCCATCTTGCCAAGATGGCACCCAAAATCGGTATTTTGTGAATATCTCGAAAACTATGCGTTTTTCGCGAAAATTTGAGGAGAGGAAAATTAAAGAGAATAAAATTTCCTATAAAAAAGGTTTTAAGAAAATTTTTGCTAAAGTCAACCGTTTAGGCACAAAATCCCTGAAAATTTTACAATTTTGCGTAAAATATGATATATTATGTATAGTCGATTTTCCGAAATCCAATGTCGATTAGGGATCACTAAAACTAGTTTTAGTTTAGTTTTTTCAATTTTGTCATAAAACAGTGGTGTATCATTAATTCGCTCATTAATTTATGAATAATTAATTTTAATTATTGAAAATGTGTACTTGTTTCCACACCACCCAAGAGGTAAAGTATATGGCGCGTTTATTTTAACGTGGTCTCCCCGGAGGCCTACATTTTAATCCTGCTTTTCTGCATCCGCAGGCTTTACTTTGTTGGTTTTGTATTTACAGGATAAAAATGCCAATAGGGATTTTGGAGCTGGATCTTTCAACATTGTGACTGGAGTAATGCCTGTTATTGTTTTCTTCCAACCTCATTCTTCGGCATCTTTGTTACAACCAGACCAATGCTGAACCTGGTGGTAAGTTCGCAATGAATGCTGTCCAGCACGACAATTAATTATTCATAAATTAATGAGCGAATTAATGATACGTCACTGTTTCATGACAAAATTGAAGAAACTAAACTAAAACTAGTTTTAGTGAACCCTAATCGACATTTAATTTCGGAAAATCGACTATACATAATATATCATATTTTACGCAAAATTGTAAAATTTCCAGGAATTTTGTGCCTAAACGGTTGACTTTAGTGAAAATTTTCATAAAACCTTTTTTATAGGAAATTTTATTCTCTTTAATTTTGCTCTCCTCAAATTTTCGCGAAAAACGTATAGTATTCGAGATATTCACAAAATACCTATTTTGGGCGCCATCTTGGTACGATGGCGGTGCCGGCGGCATGTCTGGAAATCTGCATTTTATGGATTTTAGTTAGGGACCCCAAAACCTATAAACCTGCAAAGTTTCAAAACTTCCGGACTTTTTTCCAAGCAGGCCTCTTTTTTGATCCCCAATGACTGAACTATAAGGCTGATGCCAAAGACTGCCAGAGACTGTCAAGAAAATATAGCCATTTTAGAACATGCAAAATTTTTTATGAAGAATGCATTTTTGTTAAAATGTTAATAATAAAAAAGTGTTTCCTCTTGTAAAGACAATCCGGGAACAAACCTGTAGATAACCATTTATATTAACACATATTTTCTTATACCTTGCTGGCAATTGTTACTTTTGGGTCGGCATTTACATATGTGGAAGTAAATCGCATAGGGATTTTATTAAGTCGGAGTGAGAGAAATGCGACCGACCGACGCGACGCGCGACGGTGTGCTGTTGCGGCATTGCCGATACGCCTTTCCTTAACTAGTAAAGTAAAATCGCGATCGCAAACCGCTTATTTTTAAAAGACTTTTTTCAAGAGATAACTACGAGTTCTAATAGCGCGACCACTATCGAACACCCACTCAATTCCACTTATTTTTACCAAAAATGCAAGTGTTTCTAGCTTGCACTTAAAAAAAATTCAAGCTATAGAGAAAATTACAACGATTCGTTAATAAATGAACAAATTAAGTATCACGAGACGTAATTAAATCGTGAAGCTGAACGCATGACGTATACCTTACCCTAGAACTTTAAGTACTGACAGAGGTATTGATTGGGTCGACCGGTCAATTGCGAAAAATCTGCTATATCCCTTCCACGTCTCTTAGCCATGTGCACAGTTTCTCGGTTTATTTCATATGTTTGGCAACGTGTTTACTGTCCTCTCTTTGTTCAGTACATTATAAACGCATTGTACTCTTCTTACATACGGAAATCTCGACCCAATACTAACCTTTGCCAGCCCTTAGTATTATATAAAATAATTTTCTAAAAAAATGTAAATGTGAAAAAAAAATAAAATAAAAATATAAAATCTATTAAAAATAGAACAGAAATTCAGAAAGTCTATACCAAATTGTAATATGTCATACTTTTAGTTAGAGTTAAACCAAGCTACTAGAAAAAAAACAAATTTTGAAAATATGTCAGTTGCATGAGGATTTAAAAAATGCTAAACTGATTTTTAAAAGTGAATGCTACAAAAAGTCTGTTTCTGACTAATCCATCATTTTTGAACAGTTATGTACGCAAATTTTGAATGTTTTTTTTTTCGCGAGTATTACAACACAAAAATCGTTGTTTTTATTCGAGCATTATATAAATTTAGAGGATATACATACAACGATAAAAATTCAAATAAATGTTATTGTTTGTTTTATTTATTATAATAACTATCAAATTTTACATTTTTTGAAACCATTTTAGTTTTTTCAGTTAAAAAATAAATCCTACGCGATATTTTTAATATCTATACCAGGCGCGTCTCAAAAGTGGCTCACCTTTGAATTGTTAAATGGCACCCTCGATATATTTTTACTTTATTCGATAGAAAATGACACTCTGAATATAATGACATATCATATGTCAACTTTTGACATTTTTGCTGTGTTAAAAACACTAATTTTTAATCAAGGAGCCTTGGAAAAATAGATTTGATCGTCTAATGTTTTTCGCGTCTTGTCCTGGCCGGTTAAAAGATGCATAAATTATATTTTTAATAATATCCCAATTTTTCAAATGGGACAAGGTTGGCTCGTTAGCATATTTTGAAAAAGCATTTTTTTACGAATAATTTATTGGTACCATATTGGTATGGTTTATTGGTAGAGGGTGTCATTTAAAAATCAAAAGTTGTAGTCAATTCCGGTGAAATAGGAAGTGCCCAAAACAATTGAATACGTCAATCAATCCTAATTTATGTCATATACCAACATACCAAATCTTGTTTTTTATCAGAAAAAATAAAAAAGTTATAGGGGTGTGCCACTTTTGAAACGCATCCGGTATATCTTAATATATTTTAGAATTAACAAATCCGTGTATGAGTCCGGAGACACCGGAGAACCGAAATATCTATACCGAAATAAGGAACAGGACTAATAATAGAGTACGAGAAATTAAAGAAGAATATTGGCAGCGATTTAGTAGCGAAATGGAGGCGGATATGTACGGAGCACATAACGTATTTGGAAGATGTTGAGGGGTTTGAAACGAGAAACAAATGAAACAATACAACTAAGAACAATTGCAGAAGATACGTGGGAAAAATATTTCAGAGACTTATACGCAGAAACAGATGAACCAATGGAAGCACAAGAGACAAGCCAAAGAGATAATACAGAAGATCATGCGCAAATCACTTACAAGCAAGTAGAAGAGACAATAAGGAAACTTAAAATAGAAAATCTCCTAATCAAGATAAAATACCAAACGAGCTAATAAAAAACACAGGCACGGCTAGCATAGAGGAATACACAAAACTGTTTAACATTATATTACAACATAAGAAAATACTAGAAGAATGGAAACAAAGTATAACAATACCCATTTTTAAAAAGGGAGATAAAACAGACCCAGCAAACTATAGAGGAATAACATTACTGAGCACCTCGCTAAAACTTCTGACTAAGATCATTGCGGACAAAATCTCCTCAATAGTGCCAATAAGCGAGGAACAACAAGGATTCCGAAGAAACCGATCAACTACCGATGCACTATTCATACTCAGGCAACTAGTTGAAAAATCCTTAGAATATAACTCTCCAGCCTATCTATGTTTTATAGATTTAACAAAGGCCTTTGATAGAGTCCAACTAAAAGACATCATCACCATCTTGGAAAGCAGTAATATCTCGAAAGAACTCACAGAACTTATCAACGACTTAAACACAAACACAACAACCCAAATTTCCAGACAAAGCATAATATTATTCAAGTATTATTCAAGTATTATTCAAGTATTAAATTTAATATTACAATAATTCATTCATACTATAACAATAATTATGTATACTATCTTAAAACATATTTTATTATTGCACCTAGATCACCTACGATCTGTATGTGCAAAATCTAAAATCTAAATGTATAAAATTAACAAAATTGTAAATTAATTATTTTACTTATCTATCTAACTACAAAACATTATTCTTTTATACATATATATTCAGTACAACATCCTACACCACCCCATAAAACCAAATACACAAAATCCAAAAATTGCTCAAAGAAATTGAAGATAATATTTATAGTTACGAAACACAATTGATCTACACATATTAGCAAATTTTTTATTGTTAGAAATATTTTTTAATTTGACTGGTAGTGAGTTATAGAGTTTAG